GGAATATCACTATTATAGTTTTTATTAGGGTCCCTTGATGGAAATTGACGTATTTGTCATCTTAACAGGGTACGGACAGATGATAGCTGCATTCTTTTTTAATGATCTAGAGACTTTAGTTTTGTCTACTGGCATCCCTGACATTGCTGTCACGTCAAATCCATGGGCGCTACAAAAAATCATTCAAAATTTCAATAATTGGTATGTACAGGGTATTCACTTGTTGAGAAAGATCATATGGCGAACGAGTTTTGTAATGAAGATCCGATTCTATTCAAAATTGGTATCTGGGGGTTTTCGGGGGTAGGAGATGCGAGATGATGATTGTTTCGTCAAAATTTCAAAATTCAAGATGACGGATCCGATATGGCGAAAGACATTCGTTTATATAATTATTACTCTACCACAAATAGAAAATAGGTAGGATGCAACAGTGAAAATAATGTGCCTATAAGTTATCTGCGTATACCTACTTCTTTGTTATTTTCATCAATAAATTATTCGAAAATGACTTTTTATTTAAGAGATACGGAAAAATCATATGTATAACATAAGGGTAAAGTATATTCTATTCTTAATTTTCCTCCATATTTTACGTATTACTTTCTATCAGCCTACTTTTCGTCTCAGACAAAGTTTTATACATAGTGTGATATTAGTCACTCCATAAATTCTTCTCCGAATTGGATTTCCGAAAATATATTTAGCTCACGTGACATGATTACAGTAGTTTAGATACCCACATCGAGGTTTCCACCATTTCTCAATCATAAGGCTCAGCTCATCCAGCTCATAGAAAACTTCTGCTCAGCTTGAAATCAGAATTCATTTAGTCAATTCAGTCAACCCTGGTATACAGTCTAAGAACAGTCTCTTTTGGTGAAATATATTAAGCTTTCAGTACAATTCATGTGTTCCCTACCTCGCAAAGATTATGCTGGAGTAGTAAACTCTAAAACTAGAGGATTGTTCATCTATATCTTGGTATAGTTGAATCAGGAATTCCATATGGAAATTACGTATGATACGCCAGTGACCTAAATATAACCTGAAAAACAACGAATGTCAAAAATCTAGTGTTTATCCCCAGAATTGAATAAGGATGGAACTATATAACTGTTTCACAAACACTTTAGAGTGAGAGGAGACGAGGATCTGTCCGTACCCTGTTATGATGACTTTAACGTCAATTTCCATCAAGGGACCCTAGTTTTTATTAGGCATTCCAGAACACGTGACTTTTGACATATTTCTAATGGCCGCTTGTAGGCACACAAGTATTTTTTGTTGATTTACGTAGCAGCAATATAATCTTTTGTAGATATATCAAATAATAATAATGGCTGTTTTGAATAAAATTGGATATTTATTATCCTTGGACCGCTATAACAAAGATATTGCGACACGAAAGTATGTGTGCCTACAGTCGGCCATATTGATTTAGATGGTTTGACAGCATCTTGGATAGGTCAATTGAGTGGCAAAAGCAATGACAAATGGTGACAAGACCAAGTGACAAGATTACCCAATGAGAATGTCCGGCCGAAGTGTATGACGCGGTGTGACGCACCTAGTATTCGTCCAATGAAATGCCATCAATATTTCACGCGCATTCGAGCTATCGTTTGAATTTAGGTTCAGTTTAATAATTTTTTTTCTGGGTCAACCGCAATCGTAAGAAAATTTAAAAAATGCTGAATTCACCCAGTATGTGTTCTAAATCGTGAAAAAAATTCTAAATATCATGGTGAAATTCCCAATTGAACGTCATGGAAAATACGATGACAGATTCAGATTCCTTGTGAAAAAGTCTAGTTCGATAGAAGTTCGATAAAAAAATGATTTTCGATATACGGTACTTTTGAAGGCGATGACGTAACGATAGCGACCACCAGCGTTCCGATCACCCTGTACATGCATACCTACAAATCGGTAATGGGCACGTTTCAAAGCCGAAACGACAAACACTATCGGTCTAAATTGATGCAGATAATAAACATGTGCTCGACTTGTGGTACACGAAACACAGGCGGCTTTGCATCTCACCATATCTCACTAAGAATTCGCTTATCTTTTGTGTTGTGTGTATCTAGATTCTAGATTGCTGCTGCAGATTGAACAAACGACGAACAAACACTGTCCGCCATTTCGTGTAACAACATATCAATTGTTATAAGAATGGGGCAAGCGGGGTGAAAAAAAAAACATGTGCCTATTTTTTTTTTTTTTTTCGTTGTGTAATGTGAGTGTATCGGGTGCGTGAAAATGAGTAGCACGTTGGGTAGGGGTAGGACAGGTTCGGTCAGTGCCGTCAATGTGACAGGTTGGTTTTCTTCGTTGAAAAGAACGAAGAAATCGAAGAATGGCGGCAAAGCGGATAGGACTTCGAGGAGCGTTTGGGATTTGCCGATGATCACCGGTGGAATGAAAAATGTGGTAGGTATTCTTGCAAATTATTGGTATTTTTTTTGACGTATGATAAATTGATATTCATCATACATCATGCCCAGATGACAGGAGTTATTTCAACAAATTATAATTCTCAGATGTCAGATGAAGAATGGCTGAAAGAATAACTGGACTTCAGGTTACTGATGAGTATTTGATATCCGAAATGAGTTTTATTCGAGTGAAGTCATATAATCTGTGTTTATGAGAGATATAATTTCCATATCACTGATACGAATGATTTTTTTGAAAGTTTCAAGCTCATCAAGATACAGATATACATTTCAATTTTCATTTCAATACTGAACATATTGGTAAGTTATTTTTTTATATCATAGGTAATACATCATAATTATTCTATTCCATTTGAGAGATAATGTCTCAATTTCAGAAGATTTTCATTTTTCATGCTATCTTTTTGGATGTTCAACAGATATAATTCAATGTTCGACGTGGCAAATAGCCAGGAAAGTAGTTGTTTTCTGTTGAATATTCATAATGATATTATGTGCATATCTTTATATGAAGGAGAATGAAAATTCTCTACTTCAGATGATTTTGTTTTCAAATTCTTATCGTGTGTGTTCGATAGATATAATTCAATGTTCGTAGTGGCATATAGCCAGGAAAGTAGTTGTTTTCTGTTGAATAAACCGAGAAAGAATTAATATTTTCATCACATGGAGAATGCGAATTCTCAATGTATTCCTTTATGTATACAAGATGTTACCACACAGTCTAAAGAATATTCCCATGATATCAGATGTTTTCAATTTCTCTAATTAACGAGAAATTTGAACAAAATACGAGAAAAAATCAAGTACGCCACTTTAAAACAATTTAAATAATTGAACTCCGCGTGATTGTGCCTACCGCATGGAAATTTGATTAGAGGTGACGTCAGATTTGCTACAATGTAGAACTTTGGATGGAAAAAGGGATCTAACCTCAAATTTTATTTTGATCCCTATATTTTTTTATTAGTGCTATTCGATAGTATACGTCGAGCTTCCTCAGTGTTTGAAATATTTGCACTTATTTCAATGCCACCCTGTATATGTCCATTTTTTGTTTTGTTTTCATAATTATATCTGAGAATATTCCTTTTCAATATTGGTAATTTTCCACTATTAATTGTCCATCAAATTTACGAAGTGATGGCTTTTACAGAAAGTTCCTGAGAAGTATTATATAACAAAAATCTTCCATATTCTCATACGAAAACAATTTCATTCAAAAGACCTTGAACCCCTTGAAACAACAGAAGTGACAGAAATATTGTCCCCAAAAACGCATTTGTCTTCATATATTTTCCACCACGTGGTATAGGGCTGGAATTCGAGCCATATCATTGGGATCTCGTAAACCGTAAGAGAAACAGGGTCGGTTAAATTATGACAAAGTTATGCAATGTTATGCCTAACGAAATGCCGTTTTGAAACTTGAAAAATTCCGAATACTTTCGGAGGTACAAAAAAAATCGATCTTTCCTAAGACCCTCTTGATTTCAGTTTGTTCAAGTTATTTGAAGAAATTAATCGAAATGAATGACACTTTTTCATGGCCTATTTTTCTTTCCTACAATTTGAAATACGACGTTTTGTCAGCCAGAAACCATCATCAACATTTTTTTAAATACAGACCCATTTTTTCACATCATGATATCCCAAAAGCTATGAGCTATCACAAATTTGTATTTTCGAACGTATCGTTTGATTCGTTTGTAAAAATTTTCATTTACATTCAAAGGTGAGAAAAAAATGTATTAAAGAATCCAGAACCGTATTACTTTCCTTTTGTGTGCTCCAAAGGAAGAAAAAGTGACCCTAATAAAGTGTCTTACATTATTTTCGATTAATTTCTCCAAATAGGTAGGTACCTAAAAAAAACTGGAAAGGGTTTTAAAAAATTTCAGTTTTTTCGTATAGTTATCTCCGGAGGTAGGTATTCGGCATTTTGCCAGTCATAAAATTGTGCAACTTTGCCATAATTCAACCGACCCTGTATCTCTTACGGTTTACGAGATCCCAATGATGAGGCTCGAATTCCAGCCACCCTGTACAGGATATGATAAATCAATCTTTTATCAAAACTAGATAGACAAACACTGATTTCAGGAGTCTGGTGATAAATTTGTATGAAGTTCCCTTAAAATAGTCCACCCTGTACATACACTTTTCTAACTCAACTAAATTTCCTTTTTAAAATTGATAAAAATCCCTTGTGTAGGGAATTCCAGCATACACATTGTGCATAATATTTTGAAAAAAATCACAATATGTACCAGTAAATGTGTTGCACAGTGTATTATTAGTTGGCGAAGATGTCTGCATTATTTTTCAAACTCCAGCTGTGTTGGCCCGGATTTGATTCTTGTTTTTCTTTTCTTTCCGGTTTAGACTGCTGTGAATTGAAACACTATACACGTTTTTAGAAAGACAGTTCGATCGACCTTGGCAGGTCATGCCTATTATTGTTATTGTTTAATTATAAATTTATCGGTCGATTGCAAGACAGCGATTGGAAATAAAGTAAAAAAAAGTTAATGATTCAGTATCTTCGCGAATATAACGCAGTGGTGTTGATTTCTATAGTGTACATACCTATAAAAAAAAGTAATGTTGGTGGAATTTGTATAAATAGCGATATTATTGAGAAGAAAAGCTCGACGAAAAGATCATCGAATTTTCAGGCATAAAATTAACAAAATGACTCTTGAAATATTCATTTGACTTTTCTAAAATATTCCGGACGTTGTTCTCAAATGATGGTTGAAAAAAAACTGAACTAGTCATTATTCTATGTGAACTAGTGATGAAAGTATGGTATATTCTAAACCACTTACAATGTATTATAATGAAACTATTTTGATGTACTTTGTTGTTTTAGATTATCTAGAATATTTATTTGGCGGGGTCATATCTTATAATCTACCAGATAAATAGCGAAATACCTGTGTAAAATTGGGTAAAAATAAGTTTATTAACCTGCCTGAACATATATGAAAACTCTCTATGGCTAAGTAAATTTATAAAATTATATAAAAACAATGTGATACTAAGTTTCCTCCACAAATATTCCACGGGTCCTTACGATATTTTAAAAGTTCGCATTTTATTTATTCAACTGTTCAAATATGTCGACAAATCGAAAAAAAAAACAGCAATGGTGTTACTATAACCATACCAGGTGACATGTGTGATAGTTATATTTAGTGAAAAGAAGGAAGAATATCATTTGAAATAATGGCGTGTGCTGTGTCAGTCCGAAGCAATCTATTGACATTTGACATCTCGTATTTGGATTGGCTATTGATTAAATGGACATCATCTGGCATGTTTGTTCACTAAATATGAAAAACTCACCATAAAAATCATATTTCCTGTTGAATTTTCTATATAAAAATGTGTCATGAGTATGTAAAGTGTCCAATGACAAAATAAGAAGAGCAAGTAGATGTAAATGCATCCAACACGAGGGGAGAAAGAAGGCGAAATTTCGAACTTTTTCTTGAAATATCTCGATAAATAGTGGTTTGTTCAGACAGAAATACTCAAGTACCAAAAGAAAATTTTCGAAAAAAAAACCATCGCATGATAAATGCAGTTTTACCCTTTTTGTAATGAATATATCAATATCGTCGATGTACTTACTTATAACATCACGCTGTAGATAAAAAAAAACGATTGGAAGAATGACCAAACATGACAAAAATTTCGGTTCATCATATCGCTTGGCATTCGTTATGTAATTCTATTACTCAGCTCAGCCAACCACAGACAAAAATCGAGCATTTCTTTCTCTGAACCCGTTGCAGTAATAACTAATTGTTCGCCGAGGGCATACTCTCTCGTCACTGTTTTGCCTATTTTTTTTTTCTATTGTAGTTCGTCTGTCTGCCCGTCCATGTGTTCGTGTGTGCGCGTGTGTGCTTCTTTCGTAGTTCACAGTCTCCTCCAATCGTGTTGTCTTTGTTGCGAAACGGTAAGATTTTTTTCCAACAATTTTCTGTCCTGTCTTGGCCGTTTTTTTTCTCTTTTCGTTTTTTTTTTATTGCTTCTCGTTCACGTTTTTTGTTCTGTTTCTGTGTGTAGTCAGTGTTGCCCACTGAATAGATTTACTGGATACTAAATAAAAAGTGAAACCAGGGGCGTCATTTCAGTGAATACCGGGGGAGTCAAGAAACTCAAGAAGACAAATCTTGTGCAATGTGAAAAATGCCTTCAAACTGAAAATTAGACTTCTTTCAGAGTGACAACAACTCCATTCCAGTATGCATCAGGAAGGGAGTCGAAAAAACTCAAACAATAGTTATTCATTACACAATGGAAAAAAGTAATATATTCTAGCTCCAGGTTGTGTTGTCTCCCGACGCGCAGCGGAGGGAGACAAAAAACCGTGAGCTAAAATCTAATATTTTTCTCGTGTATAATACACTATTTTTTTCTGTGACAGATGAAAGGACGAATCAATATTGAGGAGATATTACATTACTTTGATATCAGAAAATTATCGACGTGAAATTTTAAGTTTTTAACAGTAGGGACACCTGCCTTGTAGGCATCTTAATCATTCTTTTGAAGTAATCAAATATCTGATGTCACTTCTGTCAGTCTAATTTTGTGATTTGATTTCGAAAAATTGCGAATTTAGTGGTTGTTTAGTAATATACGAGGTAATATACGTAACCGCGAAGTCGAATGGAAGATAAAAGGACTTGCGGTTCTTTCTGGGAGACGGTATTATTGACTTATTTTTCGGAACCATAGCACAACAAAAGCCATCAACAGTGTATATACAGGGTCGCTGATTTGTATGGAAACAGGTGAATATCTTAGTAACCTGTTGTTGGATTTTTTTTAATTTATGTACAGTGTGATTTCAAAACGTGGCGGATTTGGAAATGTTATAGCCAATGTTGCCACTTTTTCAGTTATTCCGAATTTTTTATTAACTTCCTTATTTTGAATGAAACACCCAGAACTTTATTGAATTTTCAGATTCTCCTTGAAGAGCTGATTTTTCAACTTCAGGATTTTTTGTGTCGAAACTATCCATTATCGATCAAAACGGCTCCAATGTTACTATTTTTACTTTTGATTTACCATCTAATGACATTTAATTGGAACAGATACAGAGGGTGATCAGAATAATTCTGAATCTTGAACCACCCTGTATTTGTTTCAATTAAATGTCAGTAGATAGTAAATCAAAAGTAAAGATACGAGCATTGAAGCGGTTTTGATTGATAATGAATAGTTTCGACACAAAAAAATCCTAGAGTTGAAAAATCTAGATTTTGAACACCCTATACCTATGTTATCATTCCCGCTAGACCCCAAGTGTGATATATCGATGGAATCAGCTCTTCAAGAAAAATCTGAAAATCCAAAGTTCCATTCAAATTAAGGCAGTTAATAAAAATTCCGGAATAACTGAAGAAGTGGCAACATTGGCTATAACATTTTCAAATCCGCAACGTTTTGAAAACATATAGTACTTGAATACAAAAAAATCCAACAACAGGTAACCGAGATATTCAACTGTTTCCATACATATCAGCGACCCTGTATTATAAATTATTCAGTTACATGTTCTCAGTTTGTTGCAATTGATATAAAATGATCTGAAAATAGGAACAATAAGAAAAGCAAGAAAAAATCATTTGGACACTGTGTAGGTTACACGAGCAGGTGGATGTTCACGAAATTTTTCGGAAGGCCCATGGGATACTGATTCACTCTTTCAATTTCGCAAAATATTCCCAGGCTCACTTTAGTTGTTTCATCGTACATGAATCAACCACAAACTAACACTCATGACAGGAAATGTATTATTCATTAGTTCATTGTAATTATTACATTTTACGAAAATTTGCTTCTTTATTCAGGTATATTTCATCTGGAATTTTATGTATGGATTAAACTTTTCGTAAAAAATCAGGAGGGGGGAAATTGCCTCCCCTGACCCCCCCTTAAATGACGCCCATGAGTGAAAATACCGAATATTAAGTATAGTTCAATTAAGATCTTCCATTTATTTCCTCGAAATGATTCACTCCATATGAGACAAATACGTTGAGTAGATCTTCCCTTTTTTTTCTACCAATATATACTTCCTTAGGAATATGAGTGCGTTTAGGCGCAGATGAAGCTTATTATTGTTTCTCCCCTATCTTTGCACTAATTTTCTGGTTTTAAATCATTTCCATCCAAAAGCCTTCAGAGAACCCGATGTTCATTCAGAACTAATAATATGGAAGATGGACTAAGGCTAGAAGATCACCGAGTATATCTCTATTTTTGAGGCAATCTCGCAGCTTCCAATTCATTTTGTGTATACTTTTTGTTTTGAAATGTGTTGCTTCTGCTTGAAATATCTATCTACTTTTTATTGTCTGCATTTGTTAATGTGTAGCTTTTGGCTTTCATTGAAGCTTTAGTGTGGTCTAAAAAAAATCATCAAACTCTTACACTACACTGTTTTTACTTTTAAAAGCCTCGACACGTGTTTCGCTAACTATGTTAGCATCTTCAGAGAAGATTAAAACTCTTGATGGGTTTGATGATTTAATGACATTTTACTCTAATCAGATTAAGAGGCCCTCTGTGGAACTATCAAGACAAAAATCAACATCATGTAAATCTAAAATGGTAATAAATAAGGAAATCATGTCAAAGTGAAATCCATTCACCATGAAAATAGCCAACGATCAAAGTGAAAACGACCCTGGGGATTGGGGAAATTACTTTTATCGAGGTTTCCGAGTAAAAAAAAACTATCGTTGTTCCATAATCTCACTAAGTAAATGGTTTCGTTATTTTTGTTTTTTAGGTTGAAGTATTTTGGTATGAAACGTCGTCCATTCACCTGAAATTCCGTCTGTCGATGGAATCTTTCCATCATCGTAATTCGTAAATTGACGTTTCATATAACGAGGTCTATTCTATTCAGTAATTTACTCTTTATTGGCCGCCTTTTATTTTCGGAACCGTTCTATTTCTGTCCGACAAAAGTCCATCGCATTCTAGCTTGAAGCGTTTCCTTCCCACCTTGATGCAACGCTGCTGCAACTGTAATGATTACTGCATTTAGGGCTCACTCGCATAAGCTCGGTAGTCAACAAAGAATATGTTGTTACACCGTCTGAAACCTACAGGGTCTTCACGTTTATTTTGAACCCTCACTTAACTTTTTTATACAGGGTGTTTCCTAACTATGGTTCCTAACTGCAGGGGGTGATTTGTCAGGTCATTTTAAGAAGAAAAGTTCCTATGAACATATGTCCGGAGTTGCTTCGTTTCTGAGATACAGGGCGCTGAAATTAAAGAAACCGAACCGATTTGGTTGAAATTTGGTACTTTCGTTTGTCAAATTTTCTAAAATATCAGCATATCAAGTGTCAATTATATTTTTGGCGGAAATAATGAAAAACTCATTTGTCCAATGCCAGGTGTTCATGATATTCAATACAGTGGCTTTGATTTTTCTTTCTCGAAAACGAAGCTGGATATGAAGAAAATACAGGAGACCAAAAAGTTGTACAGTCGCATTCGAAAATAAAGCGTACAAGTATATTACAGAAAGAAATTAACGTCATCTTAGTCTGCATAAAACGGGTTATCGGAAATGATTATTCACCAAATGTTGACAGTAAAGTTGTCATAGGTTATCGAAAACACAAAGCATTGGCTTAGCCAGTTTTACACAACTAGAACTAGGATCCCGAAATCCTCTCTTTTTAATACCTGAACGCTTTTTTATTGAATACGACTGTATTTTGAGTTGCTTAATCTGAAAAAAATTCAAATTTACCAAAAAAAAGTCAGTGGTGTACTTTTTTTTCACAATATTGTTGGCTGAGACGCCACTAGCCCCAATAATTTCAATCTAAATAGGGCTAAAAAAGCGCCTTATCAATACAAATAAAAGAACCAAATTTCAACCAATTCGGTTCCAGGATATTCATGATATTTTGTAATAATAACCTTTTTGGTTTCTTCAATTTCATCGCTCTGTATCTTCCTAAAATGACCTAACGAATCACCACCTGCAGTTAGAAACCGTAATTAGGGAACACCCTGTATATTGTTAATTTTTTTTACCGAGGAACGTTTATATCATATTTTTTTCTGTAGATTTTTATATATGCCAACAGAAAAACAGTTGAAGATATCTAAAAATAAGTATGGGCTACATTTATGAATTTTCAAATGGGACACCCTGTACTTTATTTGCATTTTCGGATTCTCCCTGAAAAGCTGATTTCATCGATCTATCACAATTGGGGTTCAGCCTCGGGTCAAGCTGAAATTATTACATAGATATAGGATGTGAAAAATCAGGTAGAATCTGAAAACGCAATAAAGTACAGGGTATCCATTTGAAAATTTATAAATTGCCAATGAGTATTTTTAGAGATGTTCAACTGTTTTTCTGTTGACATATAAAAATCTACAGAAAAATATGTGAAAGGACGTTTCTTGAAAAAAGAATTGAACAATACATAAAAAAATTGAGTGGGGGTTGAAAATATACGTGAAAACCTTATACGACGTCACCGTTAAAATTAAATGTCTTGTTTTTTTTTCAAAATGTTCGACCATAGAATCATGCCCGTCATCAATTTTTTTCTTGGCGAGAAACTGATTTGGAATGATTTTTTGTTGTTGCAGCGATTAAAAGATGACCTCGCTGAAATCATGTCCGAGATGGACTCACTCGACTCAGGAGAGGACGGTAAAAACAGCAACAAGACCAAAATGATGTCGATAGGGAGGAAGAAATTCAATATGGATCCTAAGAAAGGTAACAATCGCAAAAATGGACTAGATAGAATCATCAAAACTATAAAATAAGGAAAAAACCCATGGATTGATTGCCGAGTAGAGCTGTCAAATCCTCCAGGCAGTGACACAACCCTTGATACTGTTGAAAATCTCATGAATCTGTCAAATTTGACAAATTTGCAATGTATTTCCATGGTTTTATTGATACTCTAGTGAAATTAATCAATATTTCGAAAATTTAACGGCATATTCAAGAAGAATAAACAATTTTTTGAATTCATCTGTGTTATATAGAAGTCCAGACAATTAAAAAAGTAATTGAAAGTTATTCTAGAGCTACTTGAACTCTGATGTTTCATTCAGTGTCAATACCGAGCCAAAGAAAATATACAACTTGATTTAGAATGTCAGTTCTAGAGAGTCATCGATTATTACAGTTTAAATTGATGAAGTCTATTTATCTGCAAGCGAAAATTATCAGTTATTCTCATTGAATTTGTTTTAAAAATTGATTACACATAGGACATGCAAATGGCAACATAGCAAGAGAGACTGGCAACACTGGCCACCACAGTAAAACACAACCGCTATCCTTCGTAATCACCATGTTACCAAATATCATCCTTTCTATATTTACTGATTCGATAAACAATCTGTATTCAACAGATGAGAACTATGTGAAAATTTTACTTTTCACTATCATAAAAGTTAATTTGTTTTTTAGGTATCGAGTACCTTATAGAGAAAGGCCTACTACAGAACACTGCCGAGAGCGTGGCTCAGTTCCTTCACAAGGGCGAAGGGTTGAACAAGACTGCCATCGGGGATTATTTGGGCGAGAAGAACGATTTTAATGAGCAGGTGTTGCAAGCGTTCGTCGAACTACACGATTTCACCGATCTGATACTGGTGCAGGCACTCAGGTAAGAAACACCCATTTCAAAACTAGAATAAAACAATATTATTCACGAGTTATCACCTAAGAAGGTGTTTTAGTGGGGTATTCCAGTTATCCAAATACTAAAAAACAATTTAATTTACTCCCAAAACTTTCAATAACTTTCAGTGACATCCAAAGACTTAGAAAAAACTCCACTACTTGCAATAATTCATCCACACTCCCACTTCCAAAACAAAGACGGAGATTATAGAAATTGTCTACAAGTACTTCTGTGAACTCCCAAAATTTTTAAACACTTCCATTGACTTTCAAATACTTTGAACGATTCATAAAAACATAAAAAAGGTTCCGAAAGTTTTTTAAGTACTTCCAAAATATCCCAAATAGTCGAGTGACCTCTAGTCTTTCAGAGACTCAAGTTCTTCAAAAAGAATTTTAGGGAGCTCCAAGGTTTTTTCAAAGTATTCAAATACTCTGTCATCGACTTCTGAATATTCTCGATAAATTGCAAACACTTCCAGAAGTTTCTCCAGCTATCTCCAAAGTCTTCTGAAAACTTGCAAGTACCTTCAGTGACTTCAAGAGTCATTTAAACGTCGATTATTGCTCGAAGTGCAGTAGTATAGTTCACGACAATTTGATCATACCTTTCGGCTCCTCTTGAGCTAAAACTAGTTACTAACGCAATTATTAATCAAAGTTGATCCAAGAACATCTTGTAAAGAGTTATTCAGAGGGCACTAAGTGTCGACAGTAGTATCCCTGTTTATTATAGAGACTAGAGTCGGTGTTTTTTATTCATAAAACCAGAGCTCATTACATAGTAGTGGATTGCTGTTCCAACACACGCCAGGCAGACGTTGGGAAGCTTCCCCGGGCGTTCCATTAATCCAGTTCAATAATAATGGGCTTCTATCACAAAAAAAATGTATTTCATAATTCGATAGAACTCGCCCAAACTAGCTCACCACCGCAAACCGTTTCTTGCTGTGAGCTCCCTACGTTTTATAAAAAATTATTGAAATCCCCGATTTTTCGGACCTCTGAAAACGAGGCGATGATGTGACGTAAAAACCCTAATACTGAAACAAGGCTATTCCAGACAGAGATGAATGATACATGATTTCTGACAGAGTGAATTGGCGCGAGATCACAGTTGAAAGAATTAATATATCAGTTGCCTCAGTCTCCGTCGGGCGTTTGGTATTTTCTTTTAACTATGGCGAGATGAGGTTTCTACGTCATAAGAGGGTCCGTTTTCAGAAGGTACTATTATTTATGTCCAAAAATAAAACATTCCAGTTAATTTTTCGATGGAATTATGTCGTCAATCATTATTTATGTATAAAAAGATCATCATAAACGTGGTTTGAGTTCAAAGTTCTACTAAGGTGTACACGCCAATCAAAGATTTCATAATTCATAATGGCCTAAAAATCTAAAATAACCGTTTAAGTTATAGTAAAATCTGCCTCTGAGATGAAAAATTCATGAGTGAAGGAAGTGAAAGCCTTATTAATCCCTTATTATTGTTATTTTTATAACTCACCTAGCTTTGTATACAACGAATTGATATCCTAAGTGACAGTCAAGCATACTTGAATCGATCGATTTAGTAACTACTATCAAATTGTTATTTTTTTTTATCATCATTCACCCAGCGTAAGGAACCTTAGTCTTGACAAGCCCTCACAGTGGCAAAGTATGTGTACTACTGTTTCCTCCTCTACCTGACAGAACCTGCACAGCAGTTCTTCAGTCAGACCTATCGTACCCATGTGTTTGTTGATCCTACAATGCCCTGTGAGAAGTCCCACTAGTAATCTAGTTGAACTTCGTTTCTGGCTCAGTAGATATTATGTGAATGTTGGCGATGGTTTTTTAATAAACTCTTTTGCCTGTCTCATTTTTGGCGAGTTGTTCCACCATTATTGAGATTTGGTTTGCATCCATGATTTGAAACTAGTTTTTTGTATAGCTTTCGCAATACCACAGAAGGATTGTGGGTCGTTCAGAGCTTTGTTTGCTCCTGCTCGGGCAAGTGAGTCTACCTCTTCATTGCCCTCGTACCCTGTATGTGCTGGTACATATGCTAGAGCCAGTCTGTTCTGACTGCCCAGTTCATTTAGGGTTTCTAAGCAGTCCCATGAATATCCTAAGTGACAGTCAAGCATATTTGGATTCGATTAATTTAATAACTATATTTTCCGTCGACCTCGTATTAACGAGTAAGTTTAATGTTGATGAAATCGTTCATTAATGACATTAATGATCATGCAGGAATTGAATGTTTCATGCGCCAGAACTATAAGTGTAGTTCAACAACAAACAGCTATCGCTTCTATTTCATGAATTTGTATCTCGACAATATTCTGCACGTGATCAAATGGATAACAATTTGTATTGCACCCGACAAGGAGGGTAAGTATTTATTATAACGGAGAGAAATGAATTTCAGAATTTCCTATCCCTCAAGATCTCATTATATGCATGTGTTTATGAACCTATAAGGTAATTCGAATGATTATTTTTTTGTAAGACACTCAAAATATTGCGTTTGTGTTGTGTCCATTATAATGGACTCTATGCATATCGGTCATCAAGATTTTTTTGTAGATCATTCTTGCAACACCTCTTAGACATATGGAAAATGGCTCAGATATCGATCAACCAACAGATAATAATATATTATGCCTCCAGAAGAAAAGTTGGCAGAAATGCAGTTATTCGAATTTAGAAACTGCGAATCCCTAATAAATCATATTTCTAAAGGAATTATCAAACAGCCGTGCGACTTTCGTTATTTTGATCCTGATTTTGATGAAATTGAAAATAATATACATCTTTGCATTATGAAAAGGAATATTATAGCATCAAATGATTGTACGTTATACTGCAGCACGTCAACTATAGACACGACTCATTCCACTCGTTCGACTCCTCTTTTTCTTCAACGGGTTCACATTTCCTTCCACTGGATCGTGTGAGGAGCACCGAAAAAAGTTCTGAAAGTATCATCCCAAATAATTTCTTGATATGATGCATTTCCATATACCCATCAGCTGAATTCCATTCAGTAGAGTATACAAAATTGCAATTTTATATGTAAAATAGGACTGCGTCTGAGAGATGCTTCAAAATGTATCAAGTCATCATGATGTATAATTTTCATTATTATTATCATTATTATTATTATTGATAATATTGTGATTGATGTTATTGAGTTTTTCATGTTCTGGATATGTACTTGAATAAAAATGAATACTGAAATTCCCTACTGATCACTTTCATCAATGAACCAATTTGCATAGAGTCCATTAAAATGGACGTGTCATATAAAAAAACTCAGTTGTAAAAAAAAATTATTCGTCATGAGTTATCATTCTTCGGGTATATTTGAATGAGTAAACATCTTCAGAATATAGAGATTTGAAAAAAAGTAACTTCATGCACTAATGGGTTAACGCGCTCGCTTCGCTCGCACGTTAAATTATATCAATCATTAATCGCCATCATTAATACACTAATTGGTTAAATAACTATAAATTGTTATTTTTTTTTAATCATCATTCTTTTTTTCTCGTAGACAATTCCTGTGGAGCTTCCGGTTGCCGGGAGAAGCGCAGAAGATCGACCGCATGATGGAGTGCTTCGCGAAGAGATATTGCGAGTGCCAGGGCGAGAACAACATATTCGAGAACTCGGACACGTGCTACGTGCTCTCGTTCGCCATCATCATGCTCAACACCAGCCTGCACAATCCCAGCGTCAAGGAGAAGCCGACGATAGAGCAGTTCGTCAACATGAACAGGGGCATCAATCAGGGCCAAGATCTGCCCAGGGAATTGTTGGTGGTAAGTTGAGAATTTTATCATTCATTCATTCAGTTCATTCACCAAGCCGAGCTAGACAATCTTCTGATACAATGTGCAGATATGCAGTCGAAGGCTGCCGCATGGTTTGCAAAAAACTAGCCCTGAACCAGACAAAGACAGTAACGATGATATTATCGACAAAAAAACTTGACTCACCAATCTGAAAATCCACAGTTCGTGAAGTTCCTGGGAATATACTGTGAGAAATATTTTGAATTCATATCTTGAAAATAGGACAATCAATACAAAATCAACCAACTCTGTGTCAAATAAACTATTAATCAATAAGGTTGTCCCACAGGGCTCTGTTTTAGGACCTATACTATATTTACTTTTTCAAAATATCAGTGAAATTGGTCTCACGTTTAAATATACCATGTATGCAGATGATACAGTACTTTTATATGAAGGCAAGAATCCTTCAAATTTAGAAAATATGATAAATGAAGACTTGAAAATATTTGAAAATGGCTCCACTCTAACCTTTTATCGATAAATACTAAAAAAACAGAATATATGATTTTTCACCAAAAAAATAAACAAAAAATTTACCTCAACCTTAAAATGAAAAATGAACTCTTGAAACAAACTGACCAGATAAAATATCTTGGAATTTGGTTTGATGACAGGTTGAAGTGGGACAAACATATTGATGTTCTGGCAAAAAAAATATCTCCAATTATTGGTGCATTGAGAAGATGTCCCAAACTTGATATTAAAATTGCAAACATGATTCTCTACTCTCATATACTGAGTTGTATCAACTATTTAATAAATGTTTGGGGAACTTGTTCAAAGAACAATTTCAATAAAATATCAACATTATATAGAAAATCGTTAAAAGTATTGTATCGTCTCCCATTTGATACACCAACCAATCAATTGTTTGAAATAACAAATACGTATTCTTTAGATAAAATATATAGAATTGAAACTCTCAAAATATCATATAATATCATAAATAAAAAATTGAAGTCGAATTATATGTTGATACGGAATTCTGAAATTCATAATCATGAAACAAGACAATATAACTTGTTTCATCTTGACGCCGCTAGCTCCATTATCGGACAAAAAAGATTCACTCATTCAGCCTTAACTGAATTCAATAAACTACCTGACAATATAAAAAATTGCAGAAATATAGGTTCATTAAAAAATAAGTGAAAAAATTGATTATTTCTTGAGCGAACTGGATAAAATTGAACATGCCATTTTTTTTTTTTTCTTTTACAAATATTATTCTTTGTTTGTCAATTTACAGTTGTTGATATATTTTGTATAATGATATGTTTACCTATAGGTATATAATTATGTACTTCCTTATACCAGAGCCTATTCTGTCTGAAAGTTATTTGTTCAATAAAATAAATAAACAAATTCAAAACAACTATGGGATATTCAGGGGAATCAACTAGCGACATCATTAACCAAAACTATACAGGGTGTTTCATATGAACGTATGACCTAAACGTTCTAACTTTTGAGATACAGGGTGGTATCGATCGAAATGTTATTTTAACGAAATGTAATCCATCATGTAGTAAACTGAAGGAACTCTGTAAGAACATTACAACATCAACCCGTATTTTATTGGAATGATAATTTTTCTTAACCATATTCCATCAGAACCGTATTGTGACGGTGAAGTATTTCAACAAAACTATTTGATCAGAAAGGTAATTCCTCAGAAACGTATTTTGTCGCAACAGTATTCTGTCAGAAACATATTTGGTCACAATGGTAAATAATCGGAATGTAATTCGTCGAAATCATATCCTGCCTGGACCTTAAAACATCATAATCGTATTCTAACGGAACTGTAAATCATCAGAACTGTATTTCACAGGAACAGTATTGTTTCAGAACGGTATTTCGTCAGAATAGTACTGTATCGGAATCATACAGAATCACAACATATCAGATCATATAATCGACATTGTAGCTTTCTGTAACATACTCAATCTACGAAATACTGTTCCGATGGAATACGGTACTCATGCTATGAAAAACGGTTCATATGAATCAATGTCCCGATGGAATACTGTTCCGATGGAATACTGTTCCGATGGAATACGGTTCCGACAAATTGACATGATAAGAGGGGACTCAGTATACCGTCAACTATCCAAAAAAATGAATGAAATATATTGGAAGGATAGGCTTGGAAAAACAGGTTTATTTGTATTAGGAGTGATTTTTCTTGCAGAGCCTCTACGACAGTATAAAAGCGGAACCATTCAAAATTCCGGAAGACGATGGCAACGACCTGATGCACACTTTCTTCAACCCCGACAAAGAGGGATGGTTGTGGAAGCAGGGCGGCAGATATAAATCGTGGAAGCGACGTTGGTAATTACCTTTTCATTTATCCATCATCAATGAATTATCGCTCACAGTTCGACCAAGTTTTTGCAATTGTCAAGAGGGTATAAATTATTGATTCTGTTTTGAATCCATGGGGAGGTGCGTATCTCTTCCCGTCAATCAATTATTACCGTGAAAGAATTTGAAATTCACTGATATCTCATGGAAATATTTAAGAGGTATGGACGTATTGGGAAGACTCTGAGGTACTGAGTCTTAGAGAAAGTACTTGTGAAAAACGTCTAGAACCTAAAATCGAATTATCACTTTGAAATAATTGAATGCATAAAGCGGTTTTTTTATTAAATCTCTTCGAGAATTGAAATTTCACCTTTGGCTTGTATACGAAACAGTCTTCCTAATGCACACAAGACAAGACAAATCTGAAGAAAACTTTTTTTATCGAACATCAACGCTATTAAAAAAATTTAACAGTGATAAACAACTATTCAACCAACTTCCTAAAGAAATTAGCAAAATTGAGTCAAGTAATATACAGAAAAGGTGTGAAAAACGTTAGTATGCCCTGAAAGAGTTTGTCTAAGGGGATTTTAATAGAAAGCTACTTGTGTTCTATCAATTTTAATGTGCTGCCTGTGTGATTTTTCAAAAATTTATGTTTCGTGGAGTTTTATTAATTTTTTTTCTAGGTTCATTCTGAACGACAACTGCCTCTACTATTTCGAGTACACCACAGACAAGGAGCCGAGGGGCATCATCCCTTTGGAGAACATTTCCATCAGGGAGTGCTATGACAGACAGAAACAGCACTGTTTCGAGTTGTACGCCAGCGGCGGAGCAGAATTCATCAAGGCGTGCAAGACTGATTCCGAGGGAAAGGTAAGATTTTCACGAAAATTCAATCCAGTTCTTCACCGGTCATTTCAATCCGATTCTCCCCGTAACTATATTTTTTCTGCATCTTTTGACCGATTTGTATTTTGCCGTCTGCCAAAATTAACCTTTTGAGATGATTTCTCAATTAGAAGGCTTGCACTACCGATTGCACTGCACTTTCCATAGTCTCTGGTACTATCCGGCTCGAAGGACCAAATGTTTTGCGGCAAATTGATTTAGGTTCCTTACGACATAGTGGAGTAATTGTATGCCAATAATTCATTATCAGTCCACTCACCAATTTCGATTATGCCTGTCTTATGGTACGCGCGCTTTCTTGACGCGAGTTTGCCGGTTTACTCCCATCCCAGAAAGTGGCTTACGGGCCCATAGAAGTTATCACTTATAAAAATCTTGACTACTAAATTAGGGTTGCCATCCGTGTCCGGGTTTTAGGAGTATTCGGGGACGTCCGGGCTGGTTTTGGTCAGGTCCCACCACTGACATCAACTACTATTATGTCAGTGAAAACTGAAAGTTGCTCATTGGTGTTATTTATGGGACTTAGTTTTGTTTCAAATTGTTGATTTTTTGTTTAAAAAATATTTTCGAGTTTTGATTCGTTTTGTGCAACAAAAAAATATTTAGGTATCAGAATTCTTCATTAAAAATATATGCGAAATGTAGACGAAAGAGAAATCGAAGAGAATGTTCTGGTACTTGCATATCTCCGAGAAGTGTAAATGTGAAAATCCATCTTTGAGAACAATTTATTTATTCTGCGCTAAGCATGACAATAAACGTGAAACAAACAAAGGTTAGTAAGCAATGGACTGGACACATCAACAACCAATATCACTTATACGTGTCTCGCTGGTTGCATGTATTATGTTCTCAATTCCCATTCCTTTCGAATTATTTTGTAGGTTAGCAGGAATAGCAGGTATTTTAATGTAATTTTCGGAATTCGTATGTAACGCGTTTATAAACTCTTCCAGATACTCGTTTATTGAACACTCGCTCCGCTCTGCTCTGCTCGTGCTTAAAATACTCGTTACTAAAAGGACATTTATAACACTTGTTACATTATATATTATTATGTTTTATTCAACGAGAGGACTCTAAAATCTGTTTGGTAAGTTGATTATAATTGGTGACTTGACAACCTTGCGTTGTGATTGGAAATAGAAGATTATCTGACCAATAACGAAACAACATAAAAACTAGTTTGCCGGTTTACTCCCATCCCAGGAAGGGCCTTATGGGCCTATAGAATCTATCACTTCAAAAAATCTTTACTAAATCATACTCGAAATTATTTCCACAACATGTCGACAACCGTCGAGGTGATTTCAAGTATTATTCAGTGATAATTATTATTTTACTCCACTTTGAGAAACCATGGACTTCTACCAAAGATTTTCGAATAATCTCGTTTCCAGGTGGTCGAGGGCAAACACACTGTATACAGGATGTCGGCCAGCAACGAGGACGAGCGTCGAGAGTGGATCCAGCGGCTGACGCAGAGCATCAGCCACAACCCCTTCTACGATATGCTGGCCAATCGCAAGCGCAAGGCGCAACTTTACGCCAAAAACTAGACGAAACGGTCGATGTTATTTTCTTTTAAATTTTCATCTCGACTCGCAGATGATTACGCAAAGTCTAATTGGGCACAACGAAATTTTAGAAACGTGCGGTGATATGGGAGTTTTTTTTTCTATTCTATTGTATACATTGAGCAGAATGAAGTCTCGTTTTTTTCGTCCACAGATATCGAAATTTTGCAGATTCTTTTACTAGTTTTTGAAATGCAATTTCAACACCGTCCAGTCAGTTGAGTTACAGAATCAATTGGTCTATATCGCCATCGGAAATTATAATATCAAAAATACCACCTTTGCCATATCTAAATGAATAGATAGCAAATACAGTGTGAAGAACTTATAACCCCTGGAAAACTTTACATATTTTTTGTGAGTTAGCTATCTGAAATGCAGATTCGATAAGTTGGTTATTTTATTTTTGAGTTGTAATCATGGCCAACTGACCATTTTTATGAGCTCAAATTTCGGAGAGAACTGATGGTTTTTTTTTTCAGCAAAACTGTTGATGAATTCTCAGTAGTTACGAGGCACTGTAAACATACCTATGCCGATTTTCATCTTACTGAAATATAGTGTTTAAAAGAAAAAAAAACATTGAAAAAGGTGCTGTTTTTGTTTTTCTAGAGAACTGACGATGGTTTCTTATCAAGGATATCTTCAATCAAACATCGTTACAAAATACAGAGTTGAACATACAATTTATTTCCTTAGAATACTCATTATTTTAAAATGATGAAAAATGGTTCTTCACACTAAATGGAAATAATATATCGTAGGCTATTCAAAAAAAAACTACCCTGATAAAAAAATTTATAGTTTTAAGGGGTGGTAGGTTCTCATTTTCTTGGGGTGGACACACTCGGGCCAAGAGATTCAAAACAAAAGAAACAATGATATATTGCCAACCTAATATATCATCCCTGAATATAAAAGTAGAGGATATTTGACAAAAAAAATGAGGGTGTATGAAACACCCTCTGAGAGTGAAACAAAACGTCTTCCTCTTCTGTCCTTGAGGACACATTAAAAAAAAAAGTATTCAATGAATTTGAATCTAGGGAAAATCAGTTCTATTTCAAAATAAATTATTCTAAATATGACGGAACAGATATGCCAGTGATGAAAAATATGTTAGGATTGTGAAAATACCATGAAAAATCAAAATAATCTTTCTAAAGACTCAAAATGAAGATCTACTTTTCGAAATTTTTATTGCCTCAGGTTTTAATTGCCAACATGAAATGTTATATCCTAGTTGGAAACAGAAATTATGCTTATTATTACATGAATCATTAGGTTCCTATTGTATGAGCTGGACTATACAGTCAAAAATACCTGCAATTTCGTTCAACAAAAATATACTGTGCGGCCTAATATTGTATAACCCTTAAAACCTGATAAATTCATTGGTAGCTGTATTATGTTATGATGTTGGTTTTCTGAGTGTACATAATCATTTTTTGCGAGAGGTTTGATGTTAGATTCATAATAGTGAAGGATAAAAATGATACCATTGACGATTTTTGCTGTCCACTTTTCGTTAATTTTGATTCAAGTTATTAATTTGAAATGTTACTTCAAATTTTAAATGTTTGTAGGTTTTTTTAAATCAAATATTATTTATTCTTTATATTCGATTTGTAAGTATTATACAGGGTGTTAATAGGTTTGTTACACCGGAGTTATGGGCGTGTTCTTTTCAGTGAACGAACTCTCGAATGTCTGTTAAGACTTGATGACTATCAACATAAGTTTATGAAAACTCCAAACTGGAAATTCCTTAAAATTTATTGTTCCTGAATAGAACACACTTTGTATATACTAGATAATTTTTAATTAACGCTTTTCAGTGTTTTTGTTGTTGTAAATATCAATACTATTTGTTTGTTTAGTGTCTTGTGTTTTAAATAATTTATTTATTTGAATGAGACAATATCAATTCACGAAAAAATAATTTGTTTCTTCAACTTGATTATCATGGGCAGTTCTAATTTCTGCTGTTTAAATGAGGAGTGATAGATTGAGTAAATGAATAAATGAAAAAAATTATTTGGGTCACATTGTAAAATAATTCTTGTAAATATGTATGGTGATTATTGACAATTATTGCCTTTGAATATAAATATATCACAAGTACCAAAATACTATTAGATACTATTATTTCATATGTTGTTGAACACTTTTATTGGACCCAACATTTTTGTACCTGGTAGATATATGTTTGTATGTAAATTAAATTGGTTTATGATTTCGAGAACTCTTTCATTAATTCCATTCCTCAGACAAGGCTCTCAAGAGTAAAAAGTACCTATTAATCTGCTATGGAAATCTGTGCATCTCTCAACTATAAGTTGAAAGACAAGATTTTTGAAACAGCTGAATGGAAACTTGTTCTCATAATATACAAGGTGAGTCACTGTCGATGGTACACTGCTGTCCAAATAAATCGTGATGACTCATGTTATGATTTCCTTGAAAGATGTGCTTATGCCCACGGAGTATATCTATCTTTATTACACAGCACGACAGCAATGGTAGGTAGTTTCCTATACCTAAATCCTCTCATTATCTTTCTTTCTGGTGTGAAAAAGCAAAAATTCTATTCTAATATAATGGTATGATATGTAATGGGGAAGACCACTGAGAGAATAAATCTGTTCAAACCTCTTTCAATCGACGAAACATGATTTACGTTTGATGTACAATCAATATTATGAGTTAAAGTTGAAGGGAATCGAATCTATATCGTTTTGAAATCAGCATAATTATTTCATTCGATATTTCAAACAGCCAAATATGATGGTGGAGTCGTGACGTATTAGTCCCGAACTGTAGCTATCTCTCTGATACCTCGTCATTCGGCAGTGTTGCAGTGTGATTGGTCAGTTCAAGGACAATAGGCGTGTTGGGAATTAGACGTCGCACCATCAGTTACACCAATGAATTGATGAAATTTCAAATGGCGCAGGAATTGTGTGTTTTGAAATGGACATATTCTAATTTATTTTTTCCATCGTCTTAGCATGAATGACAAAATTCAAAATTAATTCGCTGGTAGTTTTTCAGTATAGAGTTCACGATGCCATTTTAAAAAATCAGTGGTCTCCCCCATTGTCTCTAATTCTCACTTACAATACATGTACCGTAGAATGGGGTGACTTGATAAGATTTTTGACACACTTCCATAGATTGCGACCTTACCATGCAACTTTCAACCAAACTAAAAATAGTCACCAACTCTTTCGACCCTAAAGAACAGAACGATACATTAAAACCGTTTCTATATAGTGTAGTTTTCGAAAAAGAAAATGTCAAACGTCATATTTCAAGTCACCCCAATATGGGGTGACTTGAAATATGACTTCTTATCAACGATTATTTCAAGTAGGATGGTCTAGGTGGTGACATGAAATGAAAATTAAATAAAAAATATATAGAAATCATCAATTTCATAAAAAAACACTGTGTTTTAGAACAAATATTTTTTAGCAAAATACAAAAATAAAAAACTACAAAAATAAACAAAAAATCATTAGACTGAAAGACTAGTTTAGCTTCTTCCGTTGACATGCGACGTTGCCACTACTTCAAAATTTTCACTGCATTTTATTTCAAGTCACCACACGATTTCAAGTCACCCCATTCTACGGTATGCTATTTATCTTAAGAATTCAAATAATGAAGACACTCTTATTGCCGCCGATCAGAATGTGTTTAAAAGAAAACCAAAGAAGGGAAGTGTAAAAACTTCACAAACGATAAGATTTCCACAAAATTCTCAAACACACGACGTTTCGCTAACACAGTAGCTTCTTCAGAGGTGATATACTGATTTGACAATAAGTAAAATTAACGATAAACATGATTTTTCAATTTTCCATAAATCTTCCCACACTGATATCACTATTCATAATAATTCAACACACCCTTATCAACATAAAATTGCAGCATATAATAGTATGATACACAGGCTAGTGAATGTTCCTCTTTCGGAAGTAAATTTCGATAAAGAACTCAATATCATAAAACAGATTGCAGTCAACAACGCATACAACGCTAATTTGATAGACAGTATTCTATATTTTTAGACTGACAAATATTTTGATAGTGTATGTACCATGTAAATTTTACAGAGTGAGCTAGAGACCAAAATAGGTCGATTGATATTAACTTACCTCTATGCGAAAATGCACCGTTGAGTTGTGAGAATACGATGAAGAATAATTTAATTCCAGATTTTCTTGAATATTTCAAAATTCTTGAAAAGTCCTACTATCAACCTCGTAGGGCAATTTACTATCGTGAATGTGCATGAAAAACATGTTATACCAATTCAATCAATATACAGGCAGATCGGTATTTTGCATTCTCGTTGGTGAAAATTGATGTATTTTTTTGGAGTACGCCCATTGACTACATTTCGATATCTCAATGAATGAAAAGATAAATTATCTCACTTTTTTTAACTAGTGTTTTTTTAAATATTTCTCCTTGTTTTCTGATATATCAAACATGGTGCTTTCTTCATACTTGTTTATGATGTGTCAGGATTATCATGTTCTGCGAATTTTTGTACCTCATTTGTGTTGACTTATTGACCACAATAATCATGTTTATGAACTACTTTAGCATATGACAGGGTTTGGTCATCTTCAATTTTCTTAGTCATTTTGCGAGAAAAAATAAATAAAATTTGGAAATGACCAGCTCCCAGATCATATTATGATGAGCTTGTAAAATGGTAAACATGAATTGGTGGTCAATACCTCAACACAAATGAGGTAAAAACTTGCAAAAAATTATAGGTAATCCTGACTTTATAAACAAGAATGGAGAAGCACCAAAATGAATTTTGTTATAGATATCTCGAAAACTAAGAATTATAAAAAACCGCAGTTAGAGAAAAAGTTAGACAGTTAATTTATTTTGTCGTTCATTGAAATATGTGGTCAGCGGTGTACAGTGCATCCCATTTTGGGTGAGACAGCTAGGTTTCTCGCTTGTAATTCAAAATAGAGCCTTGCGGTTTCCACGTTTCTGTCCTACTTTTTTATGAAACTCAAGATGGTCTAATCAGATTTGGTATAACTGTTTCCGTTTATGAGATACAGGGCGATTTTGGAAATTTATACTTTTCGGGCCCCTCCTCTTCATCTCCGAAGTTATTAGAAATAATGCTGAGCTGAAAACTACATCTCATACAGAATTCTGCGTAGAATCCAGTGGCACAGTCAATTTTTTTTTTCGGGGTATGGTTTTGAATATACGACACACACCTATTTTTTTTTTCAATGGAACATCCTGTATTTTATCACTTCATTAAATTCGTTATTTTTTCCCTTCAAAATGATGCATAATACTATATAGGTAGGATGTTCATAAATGCTGAAACATCACATGATGATGATTTTTTGTTTCAAGTTTCAATAAAAGGGTTATTACTTTCGATTATCAACAGTAGTAGGTCATGGATGATACGAACATCCTTGTTGTTATTTTGACTACTATGCATTTGGAAGCATTGTTTTATCACGTGAGCATTGAAGAGAGAAAAAAAAACAAATTTGATCTAGCTGTCATCTATTGTGTATCATCGTGTTCGGGTTTGAAGAAATATTGAATATTGTAGAAATAATTGTTTGTGAATTTTTTGATTGAGAACTGATGATGGCTGGAAGAGATTTGGTTTTTCAAACCATTTAAGGATTTTGAAATATTCAAGAAAATCTGGAAATAGAATAACTCTTCAATCAATCAATTTAAATCGGCCTATTTAGGTCTCCAGTTCACCCTGTAGAATTTATGGTACATTGTTTCTGTGCACAAAAATATATCGTCACTTCCAATATTATTTTAGCACTTTCTAATTAACTTGCGGTACTTTTTTTATCTCTTCAAATAAATCTACGCATCTGGTATCAGGGATTACCTACTTATAAAAAACGACTAAGTATAGAATGAGCTGTAATTCCATGTATGTCAATAATTATAGTAACTCATTTGAATACTTGGGTACTATTGGTTGCATCACTGGAATAATTAGGATTTTCCTAAAAACAGAAAACCTATTTGTTCAATATACGAGGGATAGGCAAATATATCCTTTACCAGGAGGGTTTTCTTACTCAAGCATTTGGATACGACATACGACCTAGTCAATTTGATTACAGAAAATGTGCCAAATCGTGATTTTGAAGCGTTTTTTTGAATTCAGAGTGAAAACCTATGCATTGAATTAATTTTTCCTAAAATATCACAAGGAATCACCCCTTGAATTCTTTCGGTGTTATTTAGATACACCCTGTATATAGATCAGAAAACTATAGGAACAAGTAATGGAAATCAATTTTTATCTATAAAGATAATTAAAAAATCAATCATTGAGATTTTGACAATTCTTCGGATTTCGCTAAATGTTCTACGCCAATGCTGAATGATTAACCAATAATAATATATCACTAAAAAATAATATGATGAATAGCCAAATGTAAAATTTTCGTCAGATCGTTCAAGTATGTTCAAGGCTTCAGTGCTGATAATATGAGAATATTCCCATAAATGAAATGCTTGGGTTTCTAAATTAGATTGATGTGAGTATATATATATATATATAAATTATTCATAGATATATTAAATAATTGATTTGGTGAGTACGATTTTTGATGAATGAATATATCTCCTTCCTATATAACAAAAAATATTTCTCTGCTACCGACACGAAAGTCGTCTGTTTTAATACCAAAATTAGCTCTTGAATTGACGTTTCATACCCATGCTGTAGATATAAATACACCATATTGTAGTTAAGTATTTTTGTTTTGATCAGGAAAGCCTTCAAGATTTACATACTTGCTTGATCTGTATTTAATTCATTCTCTTGTTTTTGAATAATCACGGCCAGCAATACTTTTTTGCCCCACACAACGATATTGTTTCCCTTCCTTTGATTACCGAGCCAAACACGGTCTAAATGAATTCATCGATTCAATAGAATACACAAATGGGTCACTCTGTAGTTGTATTTATATTGAAACTACAATTCGAACATCCTTGAAAATTGAATAAACCTCATCTGTAAATGCAGGTAGAATATTCTCACCACACGGATTATTTGTTGCATTGCATACACATGGCATCCACGTTTCGGGTATAGTATTTAATTTGTGCCTGTAATATCTGATGATGCATGTCAACACAAATTTTAACAAAGTAAAAGTCATCGTCCACCAATATTCTAATGTAGAGTCACTATGTAAAGTAGTCTGAGCGCTCTTTTATTCGCTTACCTATATCATTATAATTTTGCTTCCGCTCGGCTTCGCTAGACGCAAAATACGCTTTTCAAACAAAGTGTCACTTTTGATCCTAATCCAATACTATTCTATTTCCGATTACCATAGATTATATTGTAAATTATTTTCGTTCTTGAAAGGTGATGTCATTGGATTGGAATAGTATCTTGAAAAATTACATTATACTCAAAGCAATAGATATTCAATTCCGCTGGTGATAACAGATGATTGTAAAATAATTCAAATTAGGTACCATTAAATTTTGTTTAACTATTCATCTATATACCCTTCTTGTTTCCGCAATTTTTGAAGAATTTGAATTCACTTAAGTATTCTTTCATAATTATAACGTTTTATTATCTGTTGTTTTCACAATGAAAAATTGATAAACAAAACATACGAAAATTGTATAATAATTCCATAAATCATTCAAAAAATATAAACTTTAAAAAAGGTGACTGATGAGACTCCATAATTATTATCGACAGTAATAATTGCACAAGTGGTGGTAATTTTTTGATAATTTTAAGGAGACGCACGAATCCAACGAGGAAATGCAATTTCCAAATTCACGCCACGTGTGACAAAAAACGACAAATAAAAATCAAATTAGGGTTTATGTAAGGTAAGGTTGTTAAAAATTAAATTCAAATTATTTCAGATTGCATTTATAATTACGAATTTAATTTTACCTTTGTTTGAAAAATAAAGCATTATACCTACCTCCTTCAATAATCCTGGGACACTATGTATAACAAATTACACGCGGCTGGGTTTGAGAGTCTAAAATATCCTCGGATAACTTCAACCAATAGCTACCAATTCACACATATAAACATGATAATTGACATATTTTGATCTCCCAGGTATTCATTCATACAGATAAACTTCGATGGCCAATGCGACCAGAAATAACATATGTATATCCTTACATCATTGTCACTAAATAATCAATCTTGAACCCAGCAAAAAAGAAAAGGTGATAAGATATCTATGCAACGAGACAGTGGCGTATTTTAAAATTTTAATAAACTTTTTTTTTATTTGCATCGAAATATCATTAGCTAGCTCCTATACATGAATAATAAACAAGGAATCATCTAGTCGAAAAATATACAGAGCGTTTACATTGATACGAGATGGACACACAATCTGCTTACAAAAATGATAAATAACGTTACATAATTCAATGTTTTATAGAGCTAACCGATCGTTCGGGATTCTTAGTACTAGTCTATAATCAGATTCCACAAATGCGTGACTAGACTGGATCAACAACAACCGACCTTCACCTGTAGATTTGTCGCCAACAAAAAATAAATCGGAATATTTCTTCCTATGAAAAATAATTTTAGTTAGGTGACTATTGTCAAACTAACAATAAATGTTTTCTACGATTGTACAAACCTAGAGAAATACACAGTTATTAGTTATGTAGGTTCCCTAAATCTATGCTAACAATGAGAAAAAATCAACGTTGACAGATGGTAGCTGTTTCGACATTTACGAATTTTATATACAGGGCATCCCATAATTAGCCTGCCAAACTTCACCAGCGGCTTTTACGAGCGAAAATAGGAAGTTGCAATGAACATGAGTCGAAAAATTGCCCCTAACGGAGCTACGCCCCCTTAAAGGGGGCCCTGAAGATGATATTTCCTGAAAATTTCCGAGACGCCTTCTAATAAAATGATACAAATCGGTACAAGCACTAAACTTTCTATACCGAATGCAGTTTGAATAAAATCATTCCAAAATTTCATTCAAGAGTGTATAATACAGGGTGGGACTACATTAAATATTATGCTCTAACTTTTTTGTATGTATATGGATTATGAAAATCTACTCCTCTTTACAGAAAAAAAGTGCTCCTGTTCCTTATCATTCATTATTCCAGATTTTTTGGGATTTTTTCTTCTCGTCTCTTTGAAACAAAAAATAAAAACATGAATACTATTTCAATATACGTAAATATAAGTAAAATTTTGATATTTTTTCTATATACCTTTATTCCTCTTCTCCAAACCTTTTTCAATACAAATTGTCACTGACAAGCTAGTGAATTTTTCTTTTAGGCTCTCTGATAGGAAAATTCTTCAAACGCAGTGACATTTTGGGGCATATCATTTGATTTGTCCTAACTATACGTATATTGAAATAGTAATGGTATTCATATTTTCTATTTTTTATTTCATAGAGACATGGAGAGAAAATCCCAAAAAATCTGGTATAATGAACATATAGTTTAATTAAAATTCGTTTTTGCTTTTGGTTGTATGATAAATTGACATTCATCATACAGGGCGTGGAAATGAATTCTGAATTGAGACTCTATCACGAATCTGCGATTAGAGGTCTATAAAAATCACAAGTCTCCATCGTTCAAGTTTGAACCCCCTGATTGGGTATGAAAGTGTTGAAAAGGAATATTCTCAGATAAATTATGAACATACAAAAATGGATATATATTTATATAAAGCAATACATTGAGAATTCGCATTCTCTATGTGATGAGAATATTTACTCTTTTTCAGTTAATTCAATAGAAAACAACTACTTTCCTGGCTATATGCCACGACGAACATTGAATTATATCTATTGAACACACACGATAAGAGTTTGAAAATAAAATATAAAAATTTCTGAAATTGAGAATTTGCATTCTCCTTCAGACAAAAATATGAATATTCAGAATGATATGTGTATATACATATTTTTGTCTGAAGGAGAATGCAAATTCTCAATTTCAGAAATTTTTATATTTTATTTTCAAACTCTTATCGTGTGTGTTCAATAGATATAATTCAATGTTCGTCGTGGCATATAGCCAGGAAAGTAGTTGTTTTCTATTGAATTAACTGAAAAAGAGTAAATATTCTCATCACATAGAGAATGCGAATTCTCAATGTATTGCTTTATATAAATATATATCCATTTTTGTATGTTCATAAAATTCGTTGTTGTATTACTTAACGAAATACCTACTTAACCTAAATATTTATATCCTTTTCGTAGTGGAAATCGGTCGAAAGGATCCTAATTTCAATGTAATGCAATGCTTTTAATAAAAAACAACGCCCCTCCCTGAATTTTTTTCTGGAGGCGCCCATGATTATTTTTTGCTTTTTGAAGATGGCAAATACATCTAGAGCTGTCCTCCCCAAGGTTACGCCAGCGAACATCGCTGATCGAACAAACGGAATAGTTTTGAATAGTCAATGAATCATTTCAAACCGCACGAAAAATTCGCTGATTCTGGTCTGGGTCATTCATCGGTAGCAAATTTCGATGATCGCTCGTATATTATTCATTCTCATTCACACACTCGCCCACCGATACGGAAGATAGATAAAAAAGGTAAAGGTAAAAATAACGATACTATAGGTTGTATAAAAGCTAGTGCGACGTCCTTGGCAATATTTATAAGGCAAACATTGAACATTTCACTTCATTACCATCCTTTGCCAGAATGGCGAATTTGATGGTCTAAAGAAGGAATAATAATAATAATAATAATAGTACACTTCACGTTGTGAGAAACGAGTTTCTCTACACATGTCCCCTGAGGGTGCATAGAGTCGTCTTTTTGCCATGATGGTACGGCCAAGTTGAAACCAGAGGTTGATATCCACTTCACTTACCTTTTCGATGTGCAAAATATCGGTGGTGTCTCGGTTCGTCGATCGCTGGTTCCGGAAAACACCCTGTAAGTACTTACATTTGAACAATCTATCTTTTCTAAATGAAAATTGTATCCATTAAATAATACCACGTGTTCATTTTGAATGGTATGGATAGGTTGTGTCGTGTGAATGAAAAAGAGTTCAAAGAACGATATTGTAGTTTCATTCAACTTTGTTCTAATTTCCATATACATGGTATTCCTTGTACCATTTAAATCAAAACGTCCTTAATAACCCTTAAAATTGATTTCCGTAGACTCAAGTATATATACAGGTACAGGGTGCGCCTCTTAAAATGGACCCCCCCCCACAACTCTTTTGTTTTCAGAGATGTGAAAAAATGTTGCATTAAAAAGTTGTTTGAAACGACCCACTTTTATTTTGTGAAGTTGTTTCATATACAGGGTCATTCGTTTTCCGGAGAGGACATTAACTTTGATTTTTTCAATGGAACACCCTATATATTTTCTGACATGCTGATAGAGCCTTTTTTGGATCTCAAAAATATATATGAGTTGCATATTTGGATGAAAAATGATTGATTTATTGATTATCAAAGTTTACCAAAATACCGAATCTTCCAATGAAACTGTCCATTCATATTTTTTTGTTTTGAGATTGAACGATTTCAATCTCATAATAAACAATACTATGCATTTCCATGGAGCTTGAACAATATATAAACGTTATTTCAAAGCCTATATTCAACTTACATTAGATGATATGAAGTTAAGGCTCATAATGCGGTATTTTGGTAAATTTTGATCATCAATGACTCAACTATTTTTCATCCAAATATATAACTCATAGATATTTTTGAAATCAGAAGAAAAGGTTCTATCGACATGTCGTAAATTATATAGGGTATTCCATTGAAAAAATCAAAGTTGATGTCCTTTCTGGAAAAACGAATGGCCCTGTATATGAAACAACTTCACGAAATGTAAGTTTGGGTCGTTTGACACAACTTTTTCGTTCAACATTTTTTCATATCTCTGAAAACGAACGAGTTAAGGGGGATTCCATTTTAAGAGGCGCACCCTGTACATACGGCGATAGGTACAAACATCATTTTTGAATGATATATTTTACATCGAAAATGGAAATGACACTCTTGAAATTATATGGGTTATGGGTTTGCAGGGAAGAGGGTGATATTTTGCATGTCTATAGTTTTCAATAGGACACCCTGTACATTCATAAATTAATGGAAGAAATACAGTATTTATACTACCTGGAGGTATTACATTCATTTTACTTAATTTTTTGGGATTTTCTCTCCTCGTTTCTATAAAATAAAAATATGCGTATTATTTCAATAAATTTGTAGTGGGACAAATCAAATGATTTGCCCAAAAATGTCACTGTTTAACAAATTTTTCTATCAGGGAGCCTAAAAGAAAAATCCAGTAGCTTTTCAGTAACAATTTGTTTGAAAAAAAGATAAATATAGATATATTGAAAAAATATCGATTTTTTACTCATCTTTGGACGTTTCGGGACCGAATCTGCTCCCGTTCTCAACATGAAAATGCAAAATATTTCTCTTTGGAAGTTGAGCTGCTTATAGTTTGACAGTAGCATTGCTTCCTGTTCAGTTGACATAGATAGAACATGATATTCACTACTGAAAACTGAACATGAAAATGGTTAATTCAAGATCAATTATATGATGAAAACATCCTGTAACTCATTTATAGACTGAAATCACTCATTCATACGCCAACATCAGTATGACACTGAAAAGTGTCAAACTATAAGCAGCACAACTTCCAAAGAGAAATATTTTGCATTTTCATGTTGAGAACGGGAGCAGATTCGGCCCCGAAACGTCCAAAGATAAGTAATAATTCGATATTTTGTCTAACAAATTGTCACTGACAAGCACTGGATTTTTCTTTCAGGCTCTCTGATAGAAACATTTGTTGAACGCAGTGACATTTTGGGGCAAATCATCTGATTTGTCCCACTACAAATATATTGAAATAATACGCATGTTTCTATTTTATAGAAACGAAGAGTGAAAATCCCAAAAAATCAAGTAAAAAAAATAAAGTATTTATATTGCGTGAAAATGTTAAAACTCTTAGAAACGGGTTTCAGGTCGAAACTAAAAACACATACTTTTTACAATACCACTCTGATTCGAAATAACGATTCTTTTCGAAGCAGCTGTTGTGGCCCACTCATTATTATTTGTGCCAGCACAGTGAGGATAATATACTATGGACTATGGTGCCAGTAACATTTCAGTATTCAGTAGGGGGTCGAAGAGAGATGTTAAGCAGAGGGATTAGAAAAGTAACGACAGGTCAGAACATGGGGGGTGGGAAATGCAATCCTCAGATAAACAATCAACAAAGGGTCTTTTGTGGATCTGAAGTGTAACGCGTGAGTCTTTTTTATTTATTTATTAAAATTATTAATTAATAGTACATTATACACGTAGGGAATAAAGTGGTATTTTAAATCCCTAGACAAAAAGTTTATAATAATATAATTTGTCGAGAGATTTAAAAACACTAGTCCAGAGGTGTATATTAGTATATTATGTAACAAGTGTTATAAACGTCATTTTAGTAACGAGTATTTTAAGCACGAGCGGAGCAGAGCGGAGCGAGTGTTTAATAAACGAGTGTCTAGAAGAGTTTATAAACGCGTTACATTCTATGATTTTTCTACGAACGATATGTACCACGCTAAATGATTGATTAATCACGGATTGTCGATCTGTGATTTATTCGAAATATTAAAAACGTTACCATGGCAATACGATTTCTTAAACACATTACCATGGCAACGCAGTTCATTAAACACAGCTTCGGTAATTTGAGACTTGTCTGGCCTGTCAATTGTATTAACTGTCGACTGTTATTTTCAAATTTTGTATCAGAATTATTCAAACAATATTCGTTTGTATCAGAATTCTTCATTAAAAATATATGCGAAAAGTAGACGAAAGTGAAATCGAAGAGAATGTTCTGGTACTTGCATATCTCCAAGAAGTGTGAAAATGAAGCATCCATCTTTGAGAACAATTTTTTTATTCTGCGCTAAGCTTGACAATGAACGTGAAACAAAGGTTAGTAAGCAATGGACTGGACACATCTACAACCAATATCACTTATACGTGTCTCGCTGGTTGCATGCAGTTGCATGTATTATGTTCTCAATTCCCATTCCTTTCGAATTATTTTGTAGGTTAGCAGGAATTTGAGTTATGTTAATGTAATTTTCGGGGTTCGTAGAAAAATCTTAGTATGTAACGCGTTTATAAACTATTCTAGACACTCGTTTATTAAACACTCGCTCCGCTCTGCTCGTGCTTAAAATAATCGTTACTAAAAAGACGTTTATAACACTTGTTACATAATATACTATAATGCACTCCAGGATAGCCAAAACGTAAAAAAAAAAAAAAAATAACGAAAAAAAAGATTAAATGTTCCTAAATGGTAGTTTGTTAATGTTACTTCCAGTAAAAAACAAATTCTGTTATGCGGAAGAAGTAAACAATAATAACACATTCATAAACGATATATTTTGTATAACCTGCAACCTGCCTAATTAATTTCAATACGTAGAAAGTTTTTTGATGTGTTTATAAACTATGATTTAAAGTGTAATACCTTTATGGTAGGTACTTAATAACTGTTATCAGATTTATGGAAGTGGTGTTTATACAGAAGCTTAAATATATTTGACTATATTTGACTAGAAGCAAATTGATATAATTTAAATGTGTGTAGATCAGTCTACTCAAATAATTACGCGAATTATTCAACAAGCAGGGCTGGACTAATTCAAATTCAGAAAATTACCCCAATAAAATGTACCTACATTAGTTTATTAGTACTGAAAGTCCTCAATGGTTTTGGTATTTTTAACATAGCTACACTTCAACTACGAGAAAAAAAGAAGGAATCAATGATGGAAATATATCTGAATACCCTAGTTTCAAGAAATTCTCCATTTATGGTTCTTATAAATGAAAATTAAGACATATTTTTATATTTCATTCCGCATCTAAATGTACAGTGTGTCAAAAAATTTACAGGCACCGTACTATTTTAGGACCGCATGGTCACATTACCTTTTAGATGATTTTTTTTACCCACCCTCTAGCTAGAAAAATATTATATTGACCACTAAAATGAAACCTTTCCAGAAATGCTACTTTTAGGGTAGGTTTATGCTATCATTTGAGATTCCGAAGTTGGTGCAGAGAGGGTAGCAATTCTCTCATGTTTTTGAATATTTTGATAGCTATTTTCATTCCTGAAATACACTCACCGGCAAAAAAAACCGGGCATCAGAAAATTTTTTGTCAAAATGATCGCCTTGTAACTTTTTCAATTCCGACTAAATCGTGAATTTATGTTTCTAAATGTTAACCTGAATGTTCTTTTCACAAAAAAACTAATGACTTGGTCATTATACAAGGAAAAACAGAAGTTAATATTTCACGCTCAACTTCTGAACACCCTGTGGCAAAAGTGAATGATTAAAATTTAGCCTCATCATGTTTCGGATTGAAGTGTGATCCCTTTTTAGAATAATGGTTTTTGATTCACGTCATCTCTTCTTTCAAGGATAAAATACAATGGGTTCTTTAAATTTGCAGAACCTACATAATCTTATCGATTTACAACTCGAAAAAACATCTAAAAATTATTATCACTTATTTCACCTCCCTTTTGGCACTCACCAGCAAAGAGGAACAAACAAAAAGCAGACCTGCTATAGATGTATCAATAACGAGTATAATTATTATCCTCCTGGAGCATTCAACCGCCGGGCATCGACTTGATCAAATTTCTGAATCTGATGAAGGCGAATGAGCCTCCGAGTTCATACCAAAGATGCTTTATACGTGCTGAATTATGTTTAACAAAAAAAAAATCCATGATTTCTCAAAACACTTGTAGGTATCATCTCTTAAAAAGTCGTTAATAACGTGAATCAAGAACTATTGATAAATAAATACTCAAATCTTTGAGCTTTGAGTAATTATTTACCATTTCATTCCACTTTTGGCATTTTCTTAGTTGACGAACTATTGTGTTGAGGAAGGTAGAAAAATCTTTTTTATACGTCCATGCTTCAATTCAAATCATGATGGAGCAGAAGGTTGGAAAATGATTCTGATTTATGGTTAATAAAAACTAAAATATCCTATACTTTCTTAAAACACTTGTATACTCTCTTAAAAAGAAGATATCGACGTGAATCAAAAACCATTGTGTTAAGAAGGGATCACACTTAATGTAACTGAGTTCAACCACTTACCTTTGCCGAAGTTGAGGGTGTAAAAGTAACTCTTGTTTTTTTTTCCTTTATAATAATAAAGCCGTCAGCTTTTTTCATGAATTCAGGCTAACACTCCGAAACATAAATATAAGATTTGGACGAAATTTCACCAGAATCGAACAAGAATTAAAAAAGTTACTTGGCTACATTCTCTGCTGGCAGTTTTTTTTGTCGGCGAGAGTACAAATACTCACTCATATATCTCTTTGGCACACACTATACATTCTTAGCGGTGACGATATGATTTTTTGTCAAGTAAGTTCCCTTTCTATACAAGAGTTGAATGGTACAGGGTGATTCACCATTAATGCCCCCCCCCCCTCTAGCTCATTCATTTTTAAACCGATTTCAAAATGTCAAAAATCTTCTGAAATGTTTTTTCAGATTTTTTTCCGCTACATAAATAAATTTAGGGTGCTCGGAACAAACGATCTACAGGGTACTAGTTGATTTTTTCATAGCATTTTTAGATTCTCCCTGAAGTGCTGATTTCATCAATATATCACACTTATGGTCTACCGGGTATGATTACAGAGATATAGAGTATTCAAAATCTAGATTTTTCAACTTTAGGATTCTTTGTCTACACTATTATTGGTCCTATCTCAACTTTTGATTTAATATCTACTGACATTTAATTGGGACAATACAGCGTGGTTCAAGATTCAGAATTCTCATCACCCTGTGTCTGTTCCGATAATTAAATGTCAGAATAAAGTAAATCAAAAGTTGAGATAGGGATATGAAAGTCCTTTCGACCAATAATGAATAGTTTCAACACAAAAAAATCATAAAGTTGAAAAATCTCGATTTTGTACACCCTATATCTAAAAATGCGATTAAATCCAGGGTGTTCCATTAAAGAAACTAATTAGTACCCTTTCTTAAGATCGTTTGTTTCAAGTAGTATGTAGCGGAAAAAAAATCAACGAATCAAATTATTCTTCAAATTCTGGGATCGGTTCGGAAATATGAAAATAACTGAGCTAGAAGAAGGGGGTGGACATTTATGGTGAATCACCTTGTACTTGCTTTTGGGTGTATGATGAATTGACATTCATCATACAGGGCGTGGAAATGAATTCTGAATTGAGACTCTATCACGAATCTGCGATTAGAGGTCTATAAAAATCACAAGTTTCCATCGTTCAAGTTTGAACCCCCTGATTGGGTATAAAAGTGTTGAAAAGGAATATTCTCAGATAAATTATGAACATACAAAAATGGATATATATTTATATAAAGCAATACATTGAGTATTCGCATGCTCTATGTGATGAGAATATTTACTCTTTCTCAGTTGATTCAGTAGAAAACAACTACTTTCCTGGCTATATGCCACGACGAACATTGAATTATATCTATTGAACACACACGATAAGAGTTTGAAAATAAAATATAAAAACTTCTGAAATTGAGAATTTGCGTTCTCCTTCAGACAAAAATATGTATGTGCACACATCATTCTGAATATTCAACAGAAAACAACTACTTTCCTGGCTATTTGCCACGTCGAACATTGAATTATATATCCATTTTTGTATGTTCATAATTTATCTGAGAATATTCCTTTTCAACACCTTGTACTTCCTTTAGTTTTGTACATGAAATCGAATTGGTTGGCGAGAATTTCTGATTCCTATCCTGGATTTCTTAACAACTCATCGAAATTTATTAATATCATGTGGACGGACAATTAACCATTATAGTGGTTCAATTAAAAAATAACGCCAATCCCTGGCAATTCCATTACATCTACATATTATTGGGAACTTTTGCAGGACACATGATTGTCGTTTGGTAGGATTTCCTGAAATTTTTCGACGCATATCTGCTCCTATCGCAACCGAATAAATATTTGAACGATTCAAAATGGGGAGTCAGGACAAAATGGAAACGATCGAGGCCGTTACTTATGTTTTTTCCATCGACGGGCCAACAGGGAAGGACAAGGAAGTTGCCGAAAACGAAAAAAAGATGAGGGTGTGGCAAATCCTACCCTCCGTTTGTGGTAAGCATTGTTTTTATAATTAGTGACTTCAATGACGAAATATTTTGAAAAACAAACTCCATTTCAGATTTCTGTTTTTGAATAGGGACCTTTATGAAAATGCAATTTACCAATCAATTTTGTTACCTACTTGCCTACAGTTTCTATCCACACAAGATATTTTTTTGAAAAAATACTACACACACTGGCACAATTAGGGGAACGGGCAAAATTTACACTAAGTTTGACATCAATTTTCTTTCTAACCGATCGCTCGATTCAAATTTTTTTTTCACGAATTGTAGCTTCATTCTTCACGAATACATCTGAGAAATAATTACCTTCAAACGATGAGTCTTTCTATCATATACAGGGGTGTAAAGAAAGTACGGATTTTTCGGTATTTTTTGAGACATCCTGTGGACTGAACCACTGATAATTGAAACGATTTCTCAACACCAAATTGGAGCCCAGTCTATTCCGAATATTTTCGTTTTTTATTCATCTTGATATCTCAATTATTCAAGAAAATACAGAGTTTACAAGGAAAGGTGGATATTGGTATCAATTTTACCACCTCGAAACTCAAATTGGATCTGAAAATGTGTCGTTTCTTTACTGACCTAACCTAATCATGACTAAACCTCTGCCATAGGAGACAGAAACAGTAAAATCAAATTGTTCATTTTGTTCACCTCGGCGATATAATCTTTCCCTGCCATCTATTGAATTGATGCAGATGCGGCTCTCATATGTTAAAAGAACATTGGCCCACTGGTCATTTTCAATTAATGCTACAGCCCTCGCTACATCAGTAGGAGTCAAATCTCTCACGTTGAATTTTCATTAATCAAATTTATGAATTGTGAATCGCTTGACTTTGACAATAATTAATGACATTAACAAAATAGCCAACGTTGATTTAACAAAAATAGCATTTCACCAAAAGAACATTGGAGCAACTTTTATCACCCCTGCATATTCATGAGAGTAATCGTATATGTGTCTTCAAACAGTAAATCCATAGGTGAAACTGTGAAGAATTCTCGTCTTGAAGTAAAAATCCTCACAGAAACAAGTTGAAAAACGACACGTTCTCGCCAGTTCGAGTTTCGAGGTGGTAAAATTAATACCAATATCCACCTCTTCTTTGAAACTCTGTATTTTCTTGGATAATTGGGATATCAAGATGAATAAAAAACGAAAATATTCGGGATAGATTGGACTATAATTTGGTGTTGGGAAATCGTTTCAATTATCAGTGGTTCACTCCACAGGATGTCTTAAAGAATACCGAAAAATCCGTACTTTCTTTACACCCCTGTATATGACATATAGACGAATCGTTTGGAGGTGGTTATTTCTCAGATTTATTCGTGAAGAATGAAGCTAAAATTCGTGAAAAACAAATCTGAATCGAGTGATCGGTTCGAGAGAAAATTGATGTCAAACTTAGTGGCCAGTGTGTGTATATAATAAAAATTGTTAAGTTATTTTTCAGAGTTGTCACGAAATTGTCCACTTGAAAGTACTCTTAAATATTACATCAGCTTGAAGTGCTTGAACTTACTTGAAAACAAAAAAAAAACTAATTTGTCATTCCAAATCATCAATAATTTTCTTCAAACATATCACTCTAAGATAACAATCAGATCATTTTTCCTTTTAAGGATGATTCAACAAAATTCACTAGGACTATTATTTATAGGTACCAACAAATCTGAGGTGGATTAAACTCTAATATTCATGTTTAGTAAAGTTTCATTGTTATGAAATGTATATGCACAACTTGCAATTTGAAAATTAAAACTCAATAATAAGGTAGCTACTCTAATTTTCACATGATTAAGTCAAGGGCACCATTTTACAGATATCCAACATACCTTTGATTAAATTGCAAAACTGAACTGGAACTCATGGAATTTCAATAATATTCAGAACCAGCTACCAGGATCTGATCTTATTTCTCTTCACTACAGGAAAATAATACAAAATCCATCAAGGAGGCAAAAGCTTAGCATAATTATGATAATTGGAGCATAAAGGAATGAAAAAACATTGAAATAGCTAGTTTATTACCCCCATTGGATTATGATTAGATTTGGCTCCTATTTATTGTGCTGTAGGTAGGTAGGTAAAAGGTAAAAGTACCATCATATAATCATTGTTTATTAGTTTCTGAACATTTTTCACATTCAGAGATAAGTGAAGAAATCCCCTGTAAGCCCCATCTTGACCTCACTAGGGGTTTATTGGTTTATACTAAATTAGTAGATCCATTTTGCTAGGGTTCCTAATGTTCACATGTACAAATTCCCGATAGTGAGGTAGGTAGTATGCTAATGATAATATAATGATTACAAAGAATAGAAAGTAGCAAATTTGAGGGTAATTATTGATACAGGGATCATAAATAAACCAGCATATGAAATAAATATGTAGCAAGCATGGTGTGGTAGGATGTAGGTCCCACAGTTCAGTTCAAACTTACCTAAAATCACAAATGTTTGGAGGTTCTTCTTTGGCACTTTCCTGTCTCTTATATGTGAGACATAACATAATTTACTTTAATCGTGAGTTTTCAAAAAAAACTCAAGAATATGAAAAAAAATATTGAAAAACTTGAATAAAAAAGCACAGAACACAAAATGTACGTCAATCGCCAACGGCCAAATCATAGACACAGGACACAGAATATAAAATTAATAACTACAGTGCCTCGGTAATGAGAGTGGCGAGTCGCGACAATTAAAATTGCCCAGGTTATGCCTTTAAGCTTATGCAGTGTAGAGTCACTGGATGGTATTAGCGTTGATTGATATATTACGCTTACGCTGGGAAGATGCCCAACCTTATGGGGCAAAACGAGGTCCAAAAAAATCTCACAACTAGATGGCGTACCATAGTTCGAAATCTCACATAGTGGCGGCGATAGTGTCGAACGATGTCGGAGCAATAGTTCGTAATTTGACGGGCAGGTGCGCCACTTACGAAGAGAATCTATTGGAATGCAGATGGCGTGCGACTTGAAACAATTAAACAATCCATAATCCGGAACGCTTGTATATCGAATCCATGATCAATCAGTACGATTCTGACTAATATGGCGGTAAATTCGAATTTGTTAGTATTAGTTGTATTTCTTTTATTCGTCTGAGGCTTCTAACGAGCGCATCACGGACGTGAGATCATGCGATTGTGGAATAAACTGGTCAGCGGATATCAATATATAAACTGCTCATAAATTTGATTGAAATTCACGAACCCGGACCAGTGTTGTCACCTTAGTGTATCTTACCCTAGAACTGAATCTAAAATGGGTCTGTTTGAGTGGAATTCCATATTTCATTATGTCGAATTACTAAATCAAACGATAATTCACTGTCGCAAATCATTTTCTTGTCAGAGCTATGTACAATTTTTGAAATTTTTATTATTGAAATTACTGATATTCATCACATGAAAAACGCGGAACATTGCGTGACAATTCTATACCGCTATCAATCCAAAGTATTTTATACTGGTATATATGATCCGACCTATGTATTGCCGAAACTTGGAGTACCAATAATTTCCTTTGATTTATGTGGGGCGGCCGACTCGGTGCGTTTGTCGGCGATAGGGATGCCAAGTCGTCCTTTATTGTCGCCCTAACAACACAATTACATCCTGGGGACTTCCCAGGGACGTCCCTGATTTTATACAAGGACATCCCAGAGATATCCTTTGTCGGGACAGAGTACATACTAGGGACGCCCCAGGGACATCAGCTGGCTGACAAAAAAAGCATCCAAGAGATTTCCGTCTGGTAGTACGTCCCTGGGATGTACCAAGTACGAAGAAAGGATATCCCTAGGAGGTCCCAAGGATATTCCAGGGACATCCCTTCGACAAAAGAAAAAAATGTAGGTCGAGTAGGGCTTGAACCCGGGACCTTCAGCTTTTTCAGGCACGCACCTTACTCCATTGGCTGATATGCCTTCTGAAGATTTATGTACCAAACAGATTTTTAAACAGGACCAAACTGCAGAAATCTGAATAAATACAATACATTGTTAGGATTTGGGTATAATTATTATCATTCGTGGATGTTTGAAAATGGTCATTTCTTGAGTAGTTCTGACTTTCTTTATTTTCATTACAATTATTTACCGGAAAAAAACCAAACATTTTCATAAAAATTCAACTCAATATTTTGATGAAAGTCAATGACTCTGATGTGAATAGATATCAGATATACCAAGGACACGAATTGGATAACCTATGGATGTGCGGGACATTCCCTGGATACCCCAATTATGTCCTTTTGTACCGTGTGACAAAGAGGGGAAGTACCTAGTACATCCCTGTGTTGTTATAGGGCGGAGATTCTGAGCGTTCCGTAGTCTGTACTCCGTTTGTTTTGGAGCGGCAAAATCGATTCTACTCAGAAAAGGTTACTGGTATCACAAAATATCAACGCCGATTTCATGATTATATTATATCGTGGCATATAGACTGGAAATGTAGTTGTTTTCTGTTGATTTTGTTTTTATCTCAAATAAACCAAAAAAGAGTTCATATTTTTCAACAACTAGATACTGTAAAAAATGGTTCATAAGCTTGCAGCATCAACTCTTGTAATCCAATAAATAAATGAATTCTATATATGTTCCAATAGTTATGACTCACTCTGTATATTATGCCTATTATAGATGATGTATTTTATTTCATTTTTATAGTGAACCATTAACAATCAAAGATTCAAAGATATCTGACTATTTATTTTCGATCAACTGATGGGACTCTAAGAAATTATCACATTCAGATTGATTATATTATCAATATTTTGTAATGTCTTATTAATACAAAATTTTAAAATGGATACAAATTGAGTAAAAAAAATAATCAACGAAAAAGGCGTGAGATGTTTTTCCAGATAATATACAAATTATATTGGTCTAGGGTATAGGCAAAGTATGACAAGTTATTCACAAGGGAAGGGAATTTAAAAAAACGCCACGGAGTAGGAACCCAAATGAGTGAGAGATCATAATATGTTCTGTTCTTCTCTCCTCCGCAAGGAACCGAGGAAAAAATCAATACTGTCCATGGGATTCACCGACCGTAGCAAACATTTTTTTATCGGAACCGGTCGGGCGGGTCGGGTCTCATCGTAGAAGACAAGGATAAACAAGAATTTCTGGAGCGATAGCACGCGGTGGGATGGGATCTGTAATTCTGTACAAAAGTGTAGTAATCTGTACAATTAGTTCAGACATGTTCTGTGTGCCTAGTGGAGTCGCTACCTCACAGTGGCTAAACGATAGACGAGGGGATGAGAGGGGCATCGACTCGCAAATAACACAGGTTGGGCATCTTCCCAGCGTAAGCGTAATATATCAATCAACGGTATTAGTTTGATAAGAGTTCGGACACAGCTGAACTTTTGTCCTTTTCTATTTTCTATAATACAATGGTTTAAATGAATAAAAGAATAAGACATATATTCTACTCTTTGTCTTTTCAATTTCCCTAGTAGCGCCTGATTGTCAGATACGATTTTAGAGGTTATATTTTCTGTCAAATCAATCATAGCCGTAGATGGACAATGGATATAGGGTATACAAACACCCACTTCAATTCATAGTGATACTCTTCTAGCAGAGCAAGATTTATATAAATGAAAAAAATGCATGTAACACCATTTTAATATCAGAGAATATATACATATGGATAAACTTATAGCTATAATTCCTTATTGTATGTGAAACTGTACTCCAGTGAAGTATTCCTGAGACAATATTAAGAAATATAATAAGCTTGTGTCTGGAAATGCTTCATTTCGGAGATACAGGGTGTTGAAATACAGAGAACAAATCATTTTTCGATAAAGATTTCATGGGAAAAAAGAAATTTATTTTGACGAGACCTACCAAATACTTGGTTTTGTTAAGTTCTCAGCAACTTCACTTAGCGACCGCCCTAGGAGCTAAATAACATGGATCGATATAGATAATATCTCCAAAACGATAACCTCCAGCGTAATTAAGGCCCTTATAATAATTCCCTTGATACATCTATATCTATTCACTTTTCACTGTTGAATTTTGAATTCGCGGTCAGCACCAAAAACGCCATTCAATAATATATCACGTTGCAGTTTACTTGCTTTTCTTAGTTTCGTTTTCAAATTTTCAATTTCATAATGTAATTTTGCGATCATTTCTCCTTCTTCCATGATTATTTTGTTTTGTATTTTGTGTGATGGTAATAATGGAGTTTTGTTCTTGAAATCGTCTGCTTTGTAAATTGATGAAACAGCAGATTCTCTCAAGCAGATTTTGAAATCTTCTGTTTTGAAAATGGGCCTAAAGTATAGATTCATTCTAATCAGATGCTGTTATAAGAAGTGAATTTCAATGAGTACCTACCTCACAAATTTCGCTCGTCTTCAAATTGATTTTCCACCCAGGCCGTTTCATATCTTCCTTCCATAAACGAATGCTTGATATTTGAATTGGAAAATCGAATAAATGATATCCATTTGTTTCAAAATTGGCACAATTTATTATACAGCAAGTGATTTCCATAGCTGCTTTTAACTCGAAATTATAATAATCATGAAATTTTATTTCAATTCTGACGTTTATAAAATGAATTGTCAAATTCAATTTTGAATGAAATAGCGCGGGACGACTATGGTGCTCTTGTCACAATGCAAGGTGTGTAACTTTATAAATCTAAACATTCAAAAACCCTAACCGTTGTCATTTCTGTGTCCGAACTCTTATCAAACTAATACCATCCAGTGACTCTAATGCAGTGCTTATGCTTATTCTGGATACTGGGTGGTCATAAAAAACGTTGAAAATATGTAAAAACAGATGGAAAGACATCATAGCTAATTTTGCATAGGTTTCACATAGTCTGGGTTATATCAATAACAAATTATAGTATGAACATTTTATTTTTTTCAGCATCAATGTGCGTTATACCATATGGATTGATGTTGGGATGGCCGTCTCCTACATATCCTATGCTTCTAAAGCCAGACTCACCCATTTTTATCAGCTACGATCAAAGTGCCATAATAGCCGGTTTTCTGATGATCGGAAATTTCTTGGGTACACCGATTTCAACGAAAACTATCGTAGCACCGAGATACGGAATTCTCATAGGTTTGTATGTAAGGGTGTCATTTCAAATTTTGAATGCAATTATAGGGATTTTTTGAAACGACTAATCATGACAACAATCATGTACTAATGATTTTTCCTTTCAATATACATCAGGGATTAGATTCATTTCACTTCTTTATGTAAAACTCATATTAGTATCAACATTTTATTGACAATGAAAGTGTGGAGTACCACAAGGAACAGTTTCGGGGCCCTTTTCAATATTTATCTACATAAATGCAATGTCAACTGTTGTTCTAATTATATAAACAATTGACTCACTGTGTATTTTCTTGACAGGCATCGCATTCATGACGAGTGGCTGGTTCGTGATGTGGCAAGCTAGAGACTTCTTCTGGCTGCTGGCCAGCAGAATCCTGGTAGGCTTCGGCAACGGCTACGGCACCGGACAGCTCAAATTGTACATCGCCCAAATATGCGACGACGACCTGAAAGCACTCCTGCTCAAACACATCAACCTGTACGTGTTTTTCGCCGTGCTGGCGATGTTCTCTATTGGGCCGTTCCTCGATTTCCGACAAACCTCCGTCGTGTGCCTGCTCACCTCCATCTTGATTTTCTTCGTTTGTTTGTTACTGCCGTCCAGTCCTAAGGAGCTGGTGCGGGCCAATCAGACAGCTCGAGCTAGACGAATGATCGCCCATCTGAAGCCCGATGCAGACGTGGACAACGAACTGGGCAGGCTCAAAGGGGACTCGGGCGCCAAGGAGCAGGGATTTGTGGAGATTTTCAAGCGCCCGGCGCTGCTCAATAGTTTTGGGGTTTTCGCATTCTTGGTGTTTTGCCAACAGTGTTCAGGTGCTCCGGCTACTATTATCTACACGCAAATTATGTTCGAACGTTCACATTGCCCACACGCGGTATACATAGCCATAGTTTATGCCGTTTTGTTCTTCTTTTCCAATGTGATCGGGATATTCCTGGTGCCGAAGTACAACAAGAGGACAGTATTACTTTTTTCTAGTTGTAGTGTAGTGTTGCTAGTCATAGCCAAGATCTGTGTTATACTGTTAAAAGTCAACGAAAAATATTGGAGTTATAGCTCCGTTGCTGTGATGTATTTGTATATAGTCGTGCATACAATAGGGTTGGGCAGCATTCCAGTTACTTTTATTCCTGACTTCTTCCCTAAAGAATATCGCACTTCAGTCACGCACTTCTTTATAATGTTTCATTCCATTATGGCGCTGGTGATAACGAAAGTTTTTCAAGTATTAATGACAATGTACAACATAGGAATAGGATTTTGTTTGTTTTTATGTGTGAGTGTTATAGCTGTTATTTTTATCCATTTTGTATTACCAAAGAAGACTGATGCCGTTAATGCCGATGCTTTTCTAAAAGAATTACAGGAGTTACAGTAAAATTGTGCGAGTTTTATTTCAACTATATTAGTAAATTGTAACTTACAAGGACATTAGTACCAGGTATGTATAAGAATAAAATATCGGGACTGGTAAAAATTTTTATTTCTTTTATCAATGTAAGTGAAAATAGCTTGCCACGATACAATAATTCCCTTACTTCCTTCTATGAGGAGCCCTCTCTTATCATACAAAACCATACAAATTAATATATTTATTTTTAATACTATATACAAGATTTATTAGTACCTAAAATTAAAATAAATTGCATAATTCCATAATATAATAACTATATCGGTATATCTTCAATTCATTAAGGTTTATGTACAAAATAAAATAATTACTCAGAGAAATATATTAATTGAAAATAACTGTAAATAAATGTTCTTTATATTCAACAACGAAACATACTATTTCATAATTATTATTGTAAATCAAATACTGTGATAAGTAAAAAAAAGAAATACAATATATCATTATATTGGTCTCTGAGTTCACACAAATAAAATCATCAATCAACTGTTGTACTAACACAAATGTGATTTAGTTTTCTCTTCACTAGGTGGGTTGGTAGTGTAGTGCATCAGTGGCTTATTTTGGGAGGGATCCAGGTGATCTGGACCTTCCTCTACCCAGAGAAATCTGCACATTTCTCAATTATTTACCATCCAATAAGAGGTATAAGAATAAATATGAATAAAAATCGTCTATGACGAATATTTGCTGAAAGCTGATGTAAACTCAATGGAAACCAATATTGCCTGTGATTGTCCTTCAAATTAAATTAAAATGTTGGGAGAAAAAACCCATAGATAATAAATAGTAGAAGCTCTTTTTCATAAAACCGAGAGGCAGTACTTGCAACTGAAAAAATCTCAACTTGCCACTCGTTTAAATTGATTAGGAAATATTTTATTGTTGCCCACAATAAAGAAATCACCTGCTGCTCACTTTTTATCACTAACCCGAAATGCATTTGTCCAAGTTTCATTTCTCGATCATCATGAATTTTTATTTCCAATGTCTCATTGTTTCATGAAATGATGCTCTTAAATATTAGAATTGGTTTTGTTCTGCAGATATGTGTATAAGTGAAGTGAGCACAAAAATTGATAATGAGCAATATTTCAATTACATAATATACAATGAACTTTTCCAGCATAGCATAATTATCAGAATATATACCAATGGTATAAGAAATAACAAATGAAAAAAATTGTTACCGGTTTTGTAAATAGCAACTATAGTACTCTGCACCATTATTGTTTATTATTCTCAATAATCCCGAAATGTTTACCTAAAATAAAATACAATGCAATAGACATGGTGTTTCCATCTCTAACAGCACGGATATTTCATAATAATTTAAATTCGATCAAATAACCCCACGTTGGGCGCCAATTTATCATGAGGGTTTGAAGGAAAATAATAAATATTCCTAACAGCACGGATATTTCATAATAATTTAAATTCGATCAAATAACCCCACGTTGGGCGCCAATTTATCATGAGGGTTTCAAGGAAAATAATAAATATTCCTAATCTGAAATTTTGTGCGCCCAATTACTGAACTTTTATGCAGTCAACAAGAATTCTTTGAAATGCTAGTGGATTCCCATGCTCATAAAAATGGAAACTAAACACGCCCAATATTTAATTATGATAAAAACTCACCAATCCTGATGTGTTCACTGAAAGTATGTTAAGACAAGAAGGGATTGGCAGGCTCGTTGGTCTTCGACGTCCACGGAGAGGACCCGCTGGATGTGCCATTGGTAGTGGTAACTGGCGCCCAAGGATCCTATAATACGATTTTTTCAAACAATGAGCTTGTAAACGTTTTTTATTTTTTATTTAATATCTTCACAATAAGCTTTCAATTTTATTTTCAAACACATTATGTATGGTTTTATTGTCCAGAAAACACAATTTCATTCAAACGATCGAAATTTTTTACTTTCCTACTTCTATTTAGTTTGGCTATCTATAAAAGCGTATTTCTCTAGTTTCTCAAACTACTATTAATTTTCTATTCAGTTTGTTTTTAGTTTTTTATATTTTTGTAAATACACCCAAATTCGATAAAAGAATCATAACCTCCAACCCCGGAAACCCATAGATACAAATTTTTAATAGCATCGGATCATGATTACAAAACCCGTCCGCCATATATTGGATCCGCCATCTTGAATTTTCCAATTTTGAAGATCATGAGCTCTGACCCCGAAAGTTGGACTAGGAACTAAAAAGAATGTACCAGACGTCATCAAGAATAAACAGCATTGTTATGGTTGGTTATTTGGGTTGGAACACATACCTGATTTGTTTCCGATTTCAACAGATTTGACATTTCATACCCATGTTGGAGATATAAATACACCTTATTATAGTTGAGTATAGGAATTATATACAACTCAGTTAAGTATTTTTGTTTTGATCAGGGAAGCCTTCAAGATTCACATACTTGCTTGATCTGTATTTCATTCGTTATTCTCGGGATGGATAACTTGTTTTTGAATAATTACGGCAAGCAACAGTTTTTTTTCTCAAACAACGATATAGACCTCTATTTGATTATCAAGTGAAAACATAGTGTAGTATGGAGAGGAATAAATAATCGCTATTATTATTGTTGATATGCTCACTAACCTAACATTTTCCATGTCTTGTTCCTATACCTGGCACTGGCGCGGTATTTGCCATTAGAGCACCTGGTCCATACACAAATATGTCACTCGGTGGTTGTATTTATATTGAAACTACAATTCGAACATCCTTGAAAATTGAATAAACCTGCTGTTAATGCAGGTAGAATATTCTCACCACACGGATTTTGCATTGATTTTGATTTGTTGCATTGCATACATATGGCACGGCATTGGTGGTTACTTCACATATTTATTTGAGTTAATTGTTTCGGTTGCAGAAAAAATAGCATGTTTCATTCGGATCAGAAGTGACTTTGTTTGACTCGCAAATTTTGCTTTCGCTCGGCTTCGCTTACTACACTCACCGGCAAAATAATCGATCCACTCAAAATATAAATAAAACCTTGACTCGTCGGTGAATAGAATATTGCTCCGTTGTTCATTACCCCAATATTCGTGTTCCCTAACATATCTGAGGCGATTAACTCGATGATTCCTCAATAACTCAGGACCAGTTGCAGGTCTTCTTGCTCGGAGTCCAATATCGAAAAGCCTCCTTCTTATTGTTCTATCGACTTGAACTTAGTTAGTCTTCTGTCCCTCAAAACTTTGAGCGTTATGAAGCGGTTATCTTGATCATTCGTAAATTTTTTCCAACCACTATTACCCCAAATTCACGAAACCGTTTAACAGCCCTTTGCACCCTGGATCTTGAAACTCCCAAAGCTCTGGCATCATAATATTGTGATCTACCATCCTGCACCAAAGCAATAGCTCTCGCAGAGTCGGTTGCAGAAAGATCCATGTCTTATTCAACCATTCGATGATTAACACAAGCATACAAATTGTCAACTGACAGGTTTGTCACAGCCAGCTATGCAAAAAATGTCTTGGGGAACCTTGTTATTACCATAGAAAAAAATGTTGAAATGTAACGATCTTCTGAAACCCTTGTAATTTCCACAAATATAAAGTTATCCTAACAAGTAAAAAAAGAAAATGTTCGTAATAAACGTAGCTTGATGATTCATTGAAAAATTACAGGATGTAGCAGCTTAGCCACTCCAGAGATTGTTTTAAAATTGAAGTAAAAATGCACTTTTTTTGTCACTCTGTATAATTTGAAGATATGCCTCATTTCTTAAAATCTCAACATTGTGTGTGATTCTTTATGAATTTACCTACGGAATGAAACAAAATTGAACGAATCAGACATGAATTAACGAAGTTATCGTTGATCAAATTTTATCAATATTTTGAGTGGATCGTTTAGTGAGTGTATTGGGTATCAACAAAGAATAGTAGGTTAGTCACCAAGAAGCTCCATTCCGAATGCGCGGGAAAACTGACAAATGACCTTGAATTTTTACTACGATCAGATGTCAGCTGTATGTTTACTGTTTGTCAATTAATTTCTTCTCAGAGATTTGGCAAATTTTTCAACAGTGGTAAAAGTGGATTTAATCTGCACAAAAGCAATCATTATTTTTATAGATTGTGTTTTTCAGCTAAGTTTCAGTGGAATTATCATTATTTTTCGATTCTTTTTATCATTTTACATAACCTCAAATAATTATGGTATAAGTGTGAGTATATTTGATTTTTTCTAGTGTCTAGGGTTGCTGAGGTAGAAATGATATATTTTTGTAGATAAACTGGGCAATGGGGAGACCTGGAGAAATAAAATGTGCAGTCAAAGACTACAAGAGTGAGTACTTACTTAAATAATAACCAACATACACCATTGAGATTTTTTAGGTTCCCTAATCCTACCCAAGAAGTAAGAATGAATTGGAAATGCATAAATCATATGACTAGGAAATGCATACATCATATGACTAGGAAATGCATACATCATATGACTCAGAGTTGACTTCAATAAGGGCTCAATACCCTTTTGTGAGTACCAGCATTTATGTAGTTCGGTGCAATGTTCATGTTACACTTTCTGATTTTACTTTTCATGGTTCAACTGATTTTCTGAAGGACATCTGAAATGAGAATTGGCTATGGAAATGACATAAGGTGAGTACCACAATGAACATATATGTTCAATTTATATGTTATACTTTTCTCACATTTCATGATGCTACCGATTTCCTGGGACAATATCAGAAATATGATACCTGAGTAGGTATCAGAATTATCCCTACATAATTCAAAACCATCAATGGATGAATTCATTAAATTGGCTGGTATAGTGACAAATGAAATTAGATAAAATCTGCCAAATCGGAAGCCCGGGAATAGAAAATCAATTTCCTGAAGAAGCTGATGAAAGTGATGGAAGTAGTCAAAATATTGATCATTTCTTAATTGAGTATTTCTCATAATTTGATTAAAATCTTCATTCAAAATCATGGTTATTTTTATTTCATATGTGCAAATCTACCTTGAATACTCAAGGAAATAATTTCAAGGAATTTCTTATAAATGATTCATTCCATTTCCTTCAGTAAGACCAAGCAAAATGATGAATCATCAGCTTATGGAAAAATGAGATGAATTGAAGATGTTCATTTGGAAGATATCCTGAAATCTGTTCCTAACCTAAAATTCAAAAAAAAATTCCACATTGCACATAGGTAAATGATGATTTATCGTTCACAAAAACATAATATCCTCATGTCCTGCTTATGTTTTTGATTCATTAGCAAGTCAAAATAAATTATTAATTTCAATACAATAATACATGTAAATAAACTATTCTAAGGTGGATTAACAATGTCCAACTAATTTTGTAGAATCGTGTTGTGATTGGGTAAACATACATTTACGCGACGGCTGTCAATCTATCCACCAATGAGGATTTGATACGTTGAACGCGGATCGCTTACTTGTAGCGCGCCTTCAATACGTATGTCAGTTTCTTAAAATCTATACTTCAACCTGCTTCCAACCAATGAGCGGAGCGTAACCCATCGTGCCAGTTCATTCATTTGGGTTATTTCAAGGTCATCATCTACATTTTACTATTTCATTCAGAATACTCCGAGTGAAAACTCTTTCCCCTCTCCTCTTTGGTATCACGTTCGAAGATTCAAGTAGTCGGATACAAACATACAAACAGGTGAAGCTAATAAAAGCGTTTTGATAACTGGAAAACTAGATAATCCCGCTCACCTGGACGGGCGGTGGCGCTGCCCCGAAGGCGCTCCCGTTGCTGCCGTACGCCGGCTGCCCAAAGTGCCCAAGGGCGGCCGCAGCGCCGCCCCCGAACGGCGCGAACGTCTGCTGCTTGATCTCGTTGATGGTGGGCCGCGGCGGCGTCGTGTTGAATGCCTGCCGGGGCGGTTGGGCAGCCCCCGCGGGCTGCGTCGGCGCTGGCTGCTCCAGGCCCGCGAAGGGGTTCGCCACCGGCGTCGGGTTCAGCGGTTTACCTTGATTACATACAGAGTGTGGGAATATTAGATCAGGAATTTAATATTCCTCAGTATATATCTGTCACCCTATATTAGGAATGATGATATCCATTGATAATATAAATAAAACATATGAATATTAAATACTGTCTGTAAGTTAATCGAGGAGGTGGTACATTCAATTTACTTGATTTTTTGGGATTATCTCTCCTCGTTTCTATTAAATCAAATCAGATGATTTGACCCAAAATGTCACTACATTCAACAAATTTTTCTATCAGGGAGCCTAAAAGAAAAATCCAGTAGCTTGTCAGTGACAATTTGTTTGAAAAAAAGTTTGAAGGAAAGAAATATTGATATATTAAAACAATATCGAATTTGTTCTTATCTTTGGACGTTTCGGGACCGAATCTGCTTCCGTTCTCAACATGAAAATGCAGAATATTTCTCTTTGGAGTTGTGCTGCTTATAGTTTGACAATAGCATTGCTTCTTTAGGTGAAATACTCTTACAATGAGAACAAATAGAACTCATCTTTTGCAATAATTTCAACCTTCCTGGAGATGAACACAAACAAACTTTCATTTTTTATATTAAAAAAAACATTTGTTTCGACATTATTAACTTTGATGTATTTTGTTATGTGTACCTCATTTGTTCTTCAAGTCAGCGTTATTTTCAATAAACAATATTAAAAACGCGCCATTTTAACCAAAACCCCAAAACAAGATAGTTTTCGAGTTTCCTTAAATGCAATTATCTCAAAATCTGTCAAGTTTTGGGATTGACAACAAAAATAAAATTTTCGTGTAATCAAGAAAATACTCCGTGTTTTCGACAAATACGCGAAAATGCGCGAAAAGAAAACTTGAGCACGCATTTTATGCCATGAATGCCCTTTTATTCATAAAGCAACTTCTTGTAATAAGAAAGTTGGTAATCAGTTCCTTTGAAACAGAAATCATGAATATATTTTTGTATGCTGAAAAAAAAAAAAGTGACTTCTGAATTCAATTGATTTATTAACCATAATTTTTATTTTATATACCTCATAACAAGTTATACTTCGTAAGGTTTTCTTTGTTTATTCAATACCAATATGGTATACCATTAATTTATATTGTGTCAACATTTTGATTAAACTTTATTATCATCTATATGATTAAAACAATTGAATCTTGTTTGTACTAGGAACCTCATAAATACTTCTCGACGATTTGAAAATTAATAATTGTAGACGCAAAAAAAAGGTATATTTTATAAACCATTGCGAGTGTACTAACTTGTAACTAGATTGTCTAAATTGACCAGGGCGGAATTCTCTCCTAGGAAGCTCAGCGGCGTCTTTTTCGTTGCCCCTGTCGCCGAGTCTCCCGTGGACAGTGCCGTCGCGGTTGGAAGGATTTCTCCTAGAAGGTTCAACTCGAAAGGATCCCCGCTAGTTTGACCATTATTGGCACCATTGGTTTTAGGTGAAGTCGTCCTATTTCTAGGTTGAAACAAAAATTGAGAGTTAAAACAAAGAATGGATAATTAAATCATCAAAATATGCAGAATATGCAAAATACGAACGAACGAAAGTAATAAATAAGTGTATAGTTTTACTATTATTGTTCACCCTTTATACAGCGTGTTTCAAAAAAACCTAACCGCCTTGCTAGGGTAGGTAGAACATTGCAAAATAAGTTGGCTTTGCTCAGTGAAAAAATGTCGTAACGGCATCCGTTTTCATGATACAAGGTGTTGAAAAAAATATTTTTTACACAATTTTCACGATTATTCCGAAACTACTGGCAACATTTTGATGAAATTTTGTAAGGATGTTTCTTGAAATCTGACACATCGCATGTATTCGTTTTTATATCTTACTCTCATAGAGGGCGCTAGTTACACGGTTCGTACAGAGTAGTTTTGAACATAACTATTTTGAGGTTAGATTTTTCAATCCAAATATGATATCAACTTGAACATCATCCAATTTTACACCAAAAAGGTACTTCTGATGAAACTCGATACTATGTTCCGTTTTCGGAATATTTCGATTTGAAAATAATGGAGTAGTAATGAAGCTGGTATAAAATGAATTTCATTGAGTTCAATTACCTATTTATTCAGGTTCAAAAACAATAAAATTATTCTTGTGCTGAAGTTATTGATCGAACAAAGAATCATAAGTAGAAAATTAAGAGATATTTGACTAGAAACATGAAATATTGAACCAGTTAGAGTAAGTGTTAAATGTTCTACGTTTCGAGGAATACACGATTCTATATTATTTTTTTAAGAATGTAGTATTCTTCTGAACAGTTGAGGATCAGCTGTTAAGTCATTTAAGTGATGTTCAATTATGTCTCAAAACTCTTGACGTGAATTTACCTATGTAGCATAGACTTTCTGCCCAAGATACAACAAAACTGTGTAATCCATGTTCTTAGTCAAATCTGTTTCGATGTTATTCTTGTGATTCATTGTTAAATCAATGAGATTTGCATCAGAAATGTATTGTTGTTTTCGGTTTTCAATAAATAGGTGATAATTTTTCATAATACTCACTCTAATACATGGCTTTATACCAGCAACAGTTACCACTTCATCATTTTCAAATCGAAATATTCCGAAAACGGAACACAGTATCGAGTTTTACCAAGATTACCTTTTTGGTGTGAAATTCACGTTCAAGTTCACATCAAATTTGGATTGAAAAATCTAACCTCAAAAAAGTTATGTTCAAAACTACTCGTTACGAACCGTGTAACTAGCGCCCTCTATGAGAGTCAGATATAAAAACAAATGCATGCCATGTGTCAGGTTCCAAGAAACATCCATACAAAATTTCATCACAATGTTGCGAGTAGTTTGAACATAATGGTAAAAAATGTGTAAAAAAAATATCATATATGTTCTACCTACCCTAGCAAGGGGGTTAGGTTGTTTTGAAACACCCTGTATACACAGTTGGTGATGTTGTCATGAATAATACAGAATTTTGATATACATTTGAGAAATTAATAAAGAACCTTCAAAGTCAGACTACACTAGCTGTATCAAGTGGGAAGTAGCCCAATATTTCTGCGCAAAATCTTCCATGGTCCTTCGAGCAGGATCATGTTTTTCTACAGAAATATGGGACTGTTCCATTTGAAAAAACAAAGTTGCTGGCATTCCCAGAAGAACCGGAAGTCCGCCATGTGATCAAATCCAAAATGGTTGCTTATATAACTGTACCAAATTTCAGAAAAATCCGTTTATGAATGCAGAAGTTACAGGGGTGGCCCGATACCCTGTGCCATAAGAAATACGATTGGGGACTTTCAGGAAAATATTAGGGAAATATTAGTTATTCAACAATACATAAATTCTCAATTGAGTATTACTAATATTCCTAATTAGCAATAAAAATTCAAATTGTCTCAAAATGTTCCCTCATGTGTTGTGGCTTATTGCATATTGTAGCGATCACCCGCTATATATGTTGAAACTATATCAAGCACTCCCACTTGGGAAAAACATGTAAACGTTTGTTTAGAAGTTTAGAGTTCAGTTGTTTGACGGATAATAAAGAAATTGTCATAAAATATTTGGCATACAGTTTCATTTAATAAAATAGAAGTCGGAGATACATATAAACCTCCAAAGTCATATAAACCTCCAAAGTGGTGACCCCGACGTGATCTTCTGATATGCCAGAAAACAATATTCCCGCCGAAACGGTTGCACGAGTGTCGATGCGTGCTCCACCTTTCTGGCCAGAAAAACCAGCGTTATGGTTTTCACAACTTGAAGGACAATTTAACCTCAGTGGCATCGTCAGAGACGAAACCAAGTTTGCCTACGTGATTTCACAGCTTGAAAGTCGTTATGCAGCTGAGGTAGAGGATATAATCACCAACCCACCAAATAACGATCGATATGAAACAGTGAAGCAAGAACTGATCAAACGGTTATCAATATCACAAGAACAGAAAACTCAACGGCTCCTAGAACACGAAGAAATAGGAGATCGAAGACCGTCTCAATTTCTTCGTCATCTCCGTAGTCTAGCCGGAAGTACAGTTCCTGATAACTTCCTTCGCACATTATGGCTAAACAGGCTCCCCAATCAAGTAAGAGCAATCTTAGCTACTCAGGAATCATCAACCCTGGATGAAGTCGCTCAACTTGCTGATAAGATTACGGAAATATCTCCTCGTACCGTAGCTAGTGTCAGTGATTCCAAATCAGAAGAATTCAGTGAACTATCAAAACAAGTTGCTGAACTTTCTAGACAAATTGCTGCTCTTTCTGTCGGAAAAGGAAAACCTAGATATCGTTCTCATAGCAGAAGCCGATCACGAAGCGGTTTTCGAGCTGGTGCCAGAGATTCAAGAGACAATGTTTGCTGGTATCATCATAATTTTGGATCTAAAGCTAAGAAGTGTGTACCACCTTGTAGTTTTGTTCTTTCATCAACATCCAGTGCCAATTTGGAAAATTAACAGGGCAGCCGCATGCAGAGGCGACTAACGACTGCCCACAACCCAAACGCCTTCTTCTCACAGACAAAAACAGTAAAGTACAATATTTGGTGGACACTGGTTCAGACCTATGTGTTTTTCCTCGTTCTCAAACCAAACACCGTGTACAAACATCATACGATCTTTTTGCTGCAAACGGATCTGTCATTCATACATATGGAGCAGTGTCACTGTCACTTGACTTAGGACTGAGACGTGAATTTTTGTGGCAATTTATAGTTGCAGATGTTACAAAACCCATAATAGGAGTTGACTTCCTGAGTTACTTCAGCCTTCTTGTCGACATTCGAAACCAGTGCTTAGTTGATTCCATCACAGGTTTAACATCAAATGGGGCTCAGTGCTTTAATGATCAGACCAATGTGAAATCCATTTGTGGTGAGTCCATATATCACAATCTCCTCAGTCAATTCCCAGAAATCACAAAGCCAGATGGTATTCCTAGAGATATGAAACATAATACGATGCATCACATTCGTACCACTCCAGGACCTCCAGTAGCATGCAGAGCTCGACGTTTGAGTGGAACTAAACTCTGTACTGCTAAGCGTGAATTCGAAGCCATGGTGAAATTGGGAATTGCCCGTCAATCTGATAGCTGTTGGTCATCGCCATTACACTTGGTAGCCAAGAAGAATGGAGAGTGGCGGCCTTGCGGCGATTATCGCCCACTCAATGCACGAACAATTCCTGATCGCTACCCCATTCGTCACATTCAAGATTTCTCACAATTCTTAAAAAATCAGATGATATTTTCGAAGATTGACCTGGTGAGAGCATTCAATCAGATAAGAGTTGCTCCAGAGGATATTCCCAAAACAGCTATCATCACACCGTTTGGTCTGTTTGAATTTCCTTTCATGAGTTTTGGATTGAGGAATGCAGCCCAAACCTTCCAACGTTTTATGGATGAAGTGCCCGTCATGTCATTACACCGATAGGCAATTTCAAAACACCCAGTACAAAATTCGAACATATACACATTGATTTGGTTGGCCCAATGCCTTCTTCGAATGGTTACCGTTACTGTTTGACTATTATTGACAGATTCTCATGCCTACCTGAGGCATGCCCTGTCTATGATATCACAGCTGAAACAGTCGCCAAAGCCTTGTTTTCATCATGGATTTCCAAGTATGGTGTACCATTGCGCATTACATCGGATCAAGGTCGCCAGTTTGAGAGTGATCTTTTCAGAGCTTTAGCCAGAACATGTGGTATTCATATCATACGAACCACAGCTTACCATCCTCAAGCAAACGGGATGGTGGAACGTTGGCATAGACACCTGAAATCTGCAATCCGTTGCCACCAAACTGAGGACTGGGTTGAAGTGATTCCCTCAATAATAATGGGTATGCTAGGTGTTTTCAAAGAAGATCTAGGTGCTTCAATTGCAGAAATGGTGTATGGAGAACCCATTCGACTCCCTGGAGAATTTTTAACACCAAGCCCAGCAGAACAGAATCCAACGAACTATGTTGACAGACTACGAAAACATATGTCTTCTATTCGACCAACCTGTGGTTCACGTCATGGTAATCATCCTGCGTTCGTCTACAAGGATTTATCTACAACTACACATGTTTTTGTTCGTCTGGATACTTCTCGTGCATCGTTGCAGTCTCCTTACGATGGACCATTTCCTGTCATCGAAAGAAGAGAAAAACAAATGATTATTTGTATTCGTGGAAAGAATACAACAGTCTCAATGGACAGAGTGAAGCCAGCATATATTCTCTCTGAACCAAAGATTTCACAATCCGTTCCAGTCGTGCCACCCTGTATCACACCGGGACCAATAAGTGGACCATCATCTAGTCAAGATTCATCCAAACCCTCCAGTACAAGCCATACAACAAGATCTGGAAGAAATGTCAAATTAACAGTGCGTTTCTCTCCTGAATGATTTTTTTTTTTTTTGAGAGGGGAAGTACTGTAGCGATCACCCGCTATATATGTTGAAACTATATCAAGCACTCCCACTTGGGAAAAACATGTAAACGTTTGTTTAGAAGTTTAGAGTTCAGTTGTTTGACGGATAATAAAGAAATTGTCATAAAATATTTGGCATACAGTTTCATTTAATAAAATAGAAGTCGGAGATACATATAAACCTCCAAAGTCATATAAACCTCCAAACATATAATACATTTCTGTAAATAATAATTATATTAATTCACACTAGAGGACATTTGAACCCGTGAACGTGACAACACAGCGCACGAACTGTAGGCGGTGCTTTGTCAGTTCTCAGCATTCAGCACATTGATGCCAAGTCTTCAACATTTACATAATATTTTGAAGGAGTATGAGAAATATTTGGACATACTGGATGTTATCAAATAAGAAACCTCAACAGTGCACAGCATTTGAAAATCAATAGGTTTGTTCCACTTCAACCTGTCATCAAACCAAACACCAAGATATTTCATCTGGTCAGTTTGTTTCAAGAGTTCATTTTTCATTTTATGGTTGAGGTGAATTTTTTGTTTATTTTTTTGGTGAAAAATCATATATTCTGTTTTGTTAGTATTTATCGATAACAGGTCAGAGTGGAGCCATTTTTCAAATATTTTCAAGTCTTCATTTATCATATTTTCTAAATTTGAAGGATTCTTGCCTTCATATAAAAGTACTGTATCATCTGCATACATGGCATATTTACTCGCAAGACCAATTTCACTCATAATTTGAACATAAAGTAAATATAGTATAGGTCCTAAAACAGAGCCTTGTGGAACACCCTTATTGAACAATAGTTTATTTGACACAGAGTTGGTTGATTTTGTATTGATTGTCCTATTTTCAAGATACGAATTCAAAATATTTCTCATTATCACCATTATTTTGTGTTATCCTCATTTTGTGTGCTGATTTGTTGACTTGTCCTATAACTCTTGTAAGTTCCGAAGGATAAATAAATTGATTGATTGATTGATTGATTGATATACTTTACCTATTGGTTATCACATCGAAGTCGTCGAGGTCTCCGGGACTGTGGGCGGCCGGCGACCAGGGGTCCTGCTTGGCGGGCGACGAGGGCGGCACGGGCGACGGCGCTGGCGCGGGCCCGCCCCATGGGTCCGCCCGCGGGGCCGCGGCAGGCGCCCACGGGTCGGCGAGGGGGGCCTCGGGGGGCGAGGTGGCCGAAGCGGGGTGCCACGGGGTGGATGGCTGGAATTATGAAGTGGATGTGATATTCGGGGTCGATTCTGTTTGCAAATAGCAATATGGTTATGGAGAAGATATTGCTATCATCGAAAAAGTGGAATTCTAATCATCGATTTTTGGCAATATGATCTGTCAATTTCAATGACATCTGGTCAGCTTTCTTGCTATCTCGGCAACATCAATTTTGTGCTTGCTATCTTATAACAAGGTAGTGGATTCTTTGTTTTTGCACTACAAATTCTTCCGAGTGTATGAAAATTCAGAAAATAGTGGATTAAAAACATATGAGAGTTCACTTGTGTCACTGACTACTTGAAAACCTTTCCTCATCAAAGTTTCAATTTGTAGAAGAATTATTGAAAAACTTAGAATGGTGATTACAAACATATAGGATAGGTTCACTACTGTGACCAACTACTTGAAAACCATTTCTTGAAGTTCCAATTTGTAGAGGAAATATGAGACTACAATTTCGGTATATCAGAGAAACCAGAAAACCAGAAAACCATTTCAGTTGCCTGATGGATAGTTTATCAAGCTATTTTGTTAGAATATTGAAAAAAAATCACGATCATTTTCATCCGGCTCTTAGTTGCTTTCTCATTTTGGGGACAAGATTGATTACTTGTACCAGTCGCACAACGACGACCAGATTCAGCAAATACAAAATCTCTCGAATTGAATAATATAATTTTGTAAAATGTCAGTGCAGGACTGACTAATTTGAGAGGTTAGTTGATCATGAACTCTTCTTCTTCATGAAATAATGGCGAAATCGATACTTAACACTGTAAGTTGAAAACAGTGTTGTTAGCTCAAAAATTCTCAATTTTTCAACAATATTGCTATCACTTGAACTTATAACCAATTTTGCAGTTACTGTGCAAACAGAATACAAAACTTCATAGCAATATTGTTATATGTTATGATCATAACAATATTATTATCTTAGCAATGTTACGAACACAATCGATCCGAATGTGTACCAAAACGATCTTGATTCTATGGCGAATGGGGATGTGGATACAATTGATACAAATTATAAGACTTTGAGTGGTAATTATATTATGAAAATGTCACATCGATGTCAGACCATCAAATCATAATATTACAATTGATACAATTTATGAGACTTTGAGTTGTAATTATATTATAAAAATGTCACATCAATGTGAGACCATGAAATCATAATATACCAAGTATATTACATAACTAGTCACCTTAGGGAAGTTTCCTATATTGAAATTTTCATCTCACTGTGAAGTTTGTAAAAAATTAATACATACGTATTTTGTCTTTCTTTCGTAAGATCATATTTTACTTCAGAAAAAAATGAGAGGAACTTGGCTCCCCCACTATTCCGATAACGTACTTTATGAAAATTCACATTTACACAGAGTTAAAATACGATTTCCGGTGCCAGTACGACGTTGCTGACATCATCAATATGTCTAGATTTCCGGAAATCGTTCTTTGAATGCATACTAACTATATCATAACTATATCATAACATGGGATATAATAAGTTCTGTAATCCTACTTTATCAAGTATTATGAATAATTCTCATAAATCTCTCATTGGCTGAATGAAGTTAAATACTAATAAAGATAAATTATGATATTTTCCGATAGTATCTATAATTTTTCACTATCTTTATATTACAATATGTTATTCATAACTTGTCAGTCATTTTTTTGCTAATGAATTCATTCCTCAACAAAACGGATCTATTTTCTTGGGAAGCGCATTATACTTCGAGTCCGTCCACACCACTCAAAATACTGACAGGCACAACAAGAGGAAGGAGCCATGGGTGTCGGCTTCATTCTGTTATGGCCGATGGCAGTAAATTAGAAAAGATAGTATCACTAAATGTAGTCGATTGTGATTCAATGATTCAATGATATTTTCGTTTAGGATCAAGCTCTATTCGAGATATTTCAATGCATAAATAACAAAACCATAACCTGTCAGAATGAAGCCAACTACCCTCTACATTCCTCCTCCAAGTGCATTTGTGGTTGTGTAAGGTTTCGTTTACCAGTTTTACTTCTTCTTCTATTTTTTTTTAATTCGTTAGCTATTCGCTAGATATATTTTCTTCACAATTTGCCGCCCCGAAAATTAGAAATTGCTTTAATTTGAGAATAAAAACGACTTGGACTTTATTTTATGAAAATTCATCTGAAGGAAACTCTCCCATTGTACGGAGTTGATTAGAAGTGTGGGATCATGCTAGAATCATAATAGGTATTCATCAAATTTTTCACAAAATTGTAATGGTGTTGAATTTGCTATGAGCAAGTATAAATTTATCCAAAGTATCATCTACAAAAGAATAAGTGGGTTACTTGTGAATGCCAGTTAGGGTATGACATTGACAAACATTTTCAGCAATAATTGTTGGCTGATTATGCTTCAAGGACTCTCAAAACCTAACCCAGAATGGAATATAAACTAATATTTGAAGATTCAATTATTTTGAGATAATATTTATCTCATGGTTTTCAACAGTCAAAATCAATGACTAGCCACTTTTCTCATTTTTGGCTCAGACTAGAATGTTCAAATATATGCAGAGATAATCGAAAGCAAACCTAACCAGTTGAATTAGTAGCCAATACAACTCAAGCAAAAGTCAAACCAATAAAATGTCTACTAAAAATGTTCTTTTTTGTTACTTCTGTCTAGCCAAACATTACAACATACCACTGGAAAACCCCCGAATAAATTCAAATCCAATGACTGAAACAAAAAACCATTACAAATGAAATATATTGAAAACAATGATGGAAAAGGTAATAAAACTGGAAAAGAACTTACTTGTGGCCTAGGTGGCTGTGGCAAACCCCATGGATCCACATGTGGGGATTCCCCTAAATTCACATCTAACAAGTCAACTAAATGGCTTGGCTGGGGAGCAACCCTGGAAATGAAAAAAATGATATTTTCATAAGTTATATCAGAATGTTCTGAATATTCAAGATATACAGTGTGCCCACTTCTAATGGAAACACCCCTGTATCTTATGTAACCGTTGGGTAAGGATCCTGAAATTAGCTGGATCGAGAGATATACAAAAACTGTACTCTATGACCAAGTGGGGTCGTCTTCAGTGATATACACTGCTCGCCAACAGCTATGGAATCACCCCAATTTCCGGAAAATGATATTAGGAGTCAAAATAAGTCGAAAATGACTTCAGATTCGAAATCAGGACGCCCAATTCACTAACTATTTATATTTTTCTTGGAAAATTTTCAGTTCTGAAAAATAAAATTTTGTCGCCCTTTTTACGGAAGCACCCCCGTATCTTACGTAATTGACTTTATCTTTGGACTTTCCCTTCCTCCTGCAAGTTTCAGATTCCTACCTCAATAATCATATAGACATAAGTATTTTTTCAGTTCTTTCTTTGAATTTCTCAACACCTAATTTTTTTTCAGTCTGGCAGGTAATTCATTATAGAGAATTGTTCCATTGTATAAAATACATCTTTTACCCATATCTGATTTAATTTTGATGAGAATTAACATATCTTTTTGTCTGGTTATGGTTTGCGTGCAAGAACTGTCAGATGACCGACGCTGGAGGCAAAACATTGAAACACAACGTCACTTCTCTTATTCGTTTACAAGTGATCGAAATAGTTTTCCACAATTATTTTGGCATATGAAACGTATTTTTCCGCTATTCATCAATTCGCTCATGCCATCACATTGTGCTGTTGTAAAATGCACAAAACTGCAGCGGAAGATGAAGGAATCCGGATGGTACCAGAGGCGCAACCAAGGGGGGGGCACCAGGGGCCAGTGCCCCCTCCAGAGCTATCGATATTGTTTCATTTTCTTCACACTGACTAACTACCGAAAAAAACGTTTTCATCTTTTCATCTTACATCTTACCACAAATGACACAAGCTGACAACGCTCGAACGCCCTGCAAGCGCAAGTTACTGCATGTCTGTAATAATAGAGAGTTGAAGTGTTGTCGTTAACGTAAACGTAGAAATTGACAGCTACGCATGCGCATTTTCCAATTCTTCACGTTTGCGGTGTTAGTGGGTTCACGGGTGTACGTTATCTCACGTTCCTTCACGTATACCTTAAATATCAACGTACGTTAACCAAACTATACTCGAAATATGCCGATGAGTCAAAATTATCAAATTCGAGATCACCAACGAGTTCTGCATCAAGGAGTCCTCTAATTTTGACAGGAATAAATGTTCGAATCTAAACACACAACCAAAAATGACCAATACAAACCGAAAACTAAATGTATTATTACGTTATGATGACAGTGACGACCAAAGTGGCAACTTCAACTCAATTTAACGACAATACGTAAACGTTATTCTTCGTACGTTAACGTCGACGTGGAGGTCTACGTACAGTGATTACTTCAACTCTCTAATTGATTTAATAGTCTCGTAGACGTAGGCCTAGTAGGTGATCGTAACGTAAATATGGATTAGTCTTGACTAGTGAGCTCACTGTGGAGTACACAATTCACAAATCATTTTCATTACCTATTTTCTCTGTCTCGTTCAGTCGTTCATAGTGGTTATCTTCAAAAGTTGAAGGTAGGTAAGTCATAATAGAATGATTTTCAATCCCTTTCAGCATCTGATTAGTTACATCGTTTTCAGACTGGTTATAGTTGTCACAATGAGTGAGCAGCGAAAAAGAAAGAATTTTTTCGAAAAAATAATAAAAATTATGGTTTGTAAGAAGGCGTATTGAAAACGTTTGTGCCCCCCCTAGAAGGTGATCCTGATTGCGCCACTGGATGGTACATTATGATTTAAAAGTAAGTACCTACTATAGTCACTCACATATAGTTTTCATTTTTGAAATTTGGTTATTTCTCTGATTCCTCATCGGAATTCCTTCTGCAATAGGAGCTAATAGAAATATACCTGAAATTTCTAGAATAATGCAAGAAGGTTGGATTCATGCAATCAATCGGGAGGACTGGTCTGACATGCTGACGATCGTGTGTGTTGTAGACATTTTCAATCTATTAGCAGTATTAGCTTGTATTGCAGAAGTGGCAGAAGGCATAAGGAATTTTAATAAGGAATGACAACATTTCATAATGATAACTTTGTGAGATTACTATTTACCTGAAAAATCATATTCTTTAGTCTCTCGCTGCATTTTTGTGCATTGCACAATGAGAAGGCATGTTTGAATTAATGAATAGCGCAAAAAAACACGATGCGTATGCCAAGTAACCATATAAAAAAGTGAGGTTGTGTTTCAATAACTCACAGAAGAATGAGGTTGTGTTTCAATATTTTGCCTCCAGGGTCGGTCATCGTGCACGCGACCTATGTATTCGTGTTTATGACTATTGACTTCAAAATTCAGATTTGAATGTTTATGATTATATTTGACGGACTGGATGAAATTTAATATTTTGAATTTGTGAATGGAGTTAATATCTAACAATCGCCTAGATTTATAAAGATTTCTTGTTGGTTCCAAGTAATCTATATAAAAAAAACGAACCAATTTTTAATCATTTTCGTTTTTCACATACACACACTCACTTGAAATCTTGTTGGCTCTGGCTCAAAGCCAACTGGAGTCGCACGTCGTCGGATTTCCTCTTCTGCTCCTCCTGGTCGGCCTCCTCCCGAGACATGGCCAGGGCCAATTGCAATTGCAGCTCCTCTTCGCCGGCAGTCTGCGGTCTGGCGACCTCGATGTCTCTCGGCAAATCGACTACGCGAAAAATCGAAGTGATCCAATAACACATATTTTCTTCAAACACGAATAATACTTGAATGTTGCTTCCAATCAAGTTTGCTTTGGAAAAAATCAAAATGTTACCGCGACAACGATTTTTTTCTAAAGCAAACTTGTTTGAAAGCAACATTTCAGTTTTCGGTTTGGTGTTAAATGACCGAAGTGCCACAACGTTAATATAAGTAGTAGAAGTAATAAAATTAATGAATCTTGTCTGACTCCAATTTGTACCCCAAAATGAGCAAAAATAATAGTTTGAGCACATAATATGAATAGTTAAAATCGTCTGTGCACGATTAAAAAGCATATAGTTGAATAGACATTCTGATGCTCTTTTCAGATATGACAAAAACAAATGATAAATTCAAATGTATGGGGGGTGTTGTTTTTGGGCAGAAAAAAATTGTGAATTTCAAGTGAAGCCGGACCTGGATTGAGAATTTTAAGTGAAGCCGGACCTGGATTCTATCTTTTTGTTGATGCCTTAATCAATTTTACAGAATAGATTGAGTAAGGGTACCAGTTTTCAAAAAAATATACAGGTTGATTGGAAAGTTATGAGATGTCGAAGACCCATTAACCATGGGTTGTTTAAAATCACCTCAGTGCCCCCATCCACAGTTGAATTATTCATCTTGGTAATTTTGCACTTATCATGCGATGGTTTTTTTTTTCCGAAATTTTTTTTGGTACTTACGTATTTTTGCCTGTTTAACACGAATTTGATAATGAAAATGTGAACAAACCATTATTTATCAAGATATTTCACTACAAAGTTACAAATTTCACCTTCTTTTCCGCCTGTCTTTGGATGGCATTTAGAACAATTTGCCTTCTTTTTCCATCATTGGACAATTTATATCACCCAATGTTGGACACATTTTTTTCATTATATGAGTCAACTAGAAATATGGTTTTCTTGTGAATTTATCCATGTTTAGTGAAAAGAAGGAAGAATATCATTTGAAATAATGGCGTTTGTAATGTCATTCCAAAGCAATCTATTGACATCTGGTATTTGGATTGCCTATGGATTAAATGCATGGCCGTCATCTGATGGTATGCTTGCTCACTAAATAGGAAAAACTTGCCATAAAAATCATATTTCCTGTTGAATTTTCTAGCTTAAAATGTGTCATTGAAGTACATCATGAGTATATAAAGTGTCCAATGACAAAATATTAAGAGCAAGTACCTATAAATGCATCCAACACAATGGGGAAAAGAAGGCAAAATTTCGAACTTTTTCTTGAAATATCTCGATAAATAGTGGTTTGTTCACATTTTCATTATCAAATTCGTGTTTTTCAGACAAAAATACGTAAGTACCAAAAAAAATTTTCGAAAAAAAACCCATCGCATGATAAGTGCAAAATTACCTTCACCTTTCCCAATGAAATACCCTGTACATAATATAAATATAAAAAATATATATATACATTGATGAAATAAACCTCTGGTGTACGCACTTCAATCCTTTCCTGTTTTACAATTCCTTGATTTTCGCCTACTTCGATAAACATAAGATGGCGAGGGTGAATCTCCCTAAGTTTAGTCTGGTGCCGTACCAAAATTACAGGCATCAATAATGTGACAATTGTGACCAATGAAGATAGGGAATACATTATGCGATTTAGACGCATCAAGGTTGGTAGAACTGATGTTAATTATAAGTTATACCTACCTTGAGCCGCACTATGGTTCACGCCATCTAACATTCAATATGTGAACCCCACTTCATCGTCTGAAATTCAATTGTTAATATCAAGAACCATTGTCTGCTAAATATGGAGAAAAAAATCTAGTGATCTATCTGGTCTGCTCAGCAGCTATTTTTAAACATCAAGCTGCAATTTTTCAACGAAATAGTATATTTTCATCTTCTATTTGAAAATGTCGTTGCAATATTACCCTTATGTATTGCATTTCATCATTTAATTTTCATTTTTTTGTTGTTTTACCTTCCTTGCTGTCTCAGACAATTTGCTTTTTGGGGCATATAGCCCTCTGTTGGTTAAGTGGAATAGCTTTGAGCTGGACTTCGCCAACAGTCTATGTAAGATTTTTTTTCATGTATTTCACTTATGACAATAAAAGGCGTTCATTATTATCATTATATACCAGGTGGATGAAAAATTAGTAGGGGGGGAACGGCCTACAGACGATAACGCTCACCTGCGTCCCGGCTGCCCCAATCGCCCCTAAAAGCGGGAAACTTGGGGCTGCTGGGCGTATCTAGGCCCCCGTCGCTACCGAAGCCGCTGGCGCTTTGCGCGAACCGCTCTTTCGCTTTGAGCGCACGTGCTCTTTCGTTCTTCAGCCGCTCGTCGTCCTTCAGCAGATTCACCAGCTGCTTCGCCTTTTCTCGCACGTTCTGGCCTTGGTCCTTGCCTGAAACAAAAAACAGCATCTATCACAAGAAGAGAGAAACTCAAAGTCATTACCACATTAGTTCATACGTACACACCTCTACAAATCTTGGAAAATAAGAAATATGTGAACAAGCTAATTCATATATATGATATAGAAAAATTGAAAACAAACTTGGGATTATTCAATGATACTGTAAATAACTATGATGATCCCAATGAGGTATATGAAGATTTATTAAATATTTTCAATGATTGTTCATTTTTAAAAACGATCAGACAAAAATCCGATTCCAAACCATGGTTTGATGGTGATGTTAGTAAAATAATAAAATTACGTTATGAATTTCATTATGAATAAAAAATATACCCCAATATCAACTATTTTAAAGAACAATATAATTTCTACAATAGATTAGCAGAAAAAAACAATAAGAGAAACAAAAAAGAAATTTTATAATATACATTTTACTAATAGCAATCCTAAAATGGTTTGGAATGGAATCAATTCACTTATATTTAATAAATCAAAAAATTCTAAAGAAAATATCAGATATATTTCGGTGGATGATGTGAAAGTTGACGATTGTCATGAAATATGTAATGAAATTAATAATCATTTTATAAATGTAGGTCCAAATTTATCTTCTAAAATAACAACAAATTCTCAGTCTAAGGAGAACTGTTCAAGTGTTCTATCTATGTTTCTGATGCCCCCAAGTATTTCTCAGAAGTTGAAGAAATAATTGATGACTTAGATGTACGAAAATCTTGTGGATTCGACGGAATATCTGCTAAAATTGTAAAAGTGATCAAAGTAGAATTAGCTCCGATTTTATTGTATATTGTTACTAGATCTTTCAAAACTGGAATTGTACCAGATGAATTGAAAATAGCTAAAGTCATACCGATACATAAAACTGGAAAAAGAGATGACCTTAATAACTGCAGACCGATTTCAGTTCTGCCGATGCTCTCAAAAATTATTGAAAAAATGAGGAATAAGCGTTTTCTTAATTTTCTTGAAAATTATGGTCTACTATACAGTGGTCAACATGAATTTCGCCGATCGAAAGACACTGAGGTAGCAGTTATGGATGTAATTTCGGATATTCAGTTTAAAATTGATCAAAATTATAAATGTGGTCTCTTGTCTTTAGATTTATGCAAAGCTTTCGATACTGTAAATCATGATATTTTACTGAGTAAAATATTTTCAATAGGCATTAGAGAAGCCGTTTCGACCAATAATAAATAGTTTTAACACAAAAAATCACAAAGTTGAAAAATATTGATTTTGAACACCCTATATCTCTATAAACATTTCAGCTAGTCCCCAAGTGCGATATATTGATGAAATCAGCTCTTAAGGGAGAATCTAAAAATGTGCTAATATACAGGGTGTCTCATTTGAAAACACCCATCATCAACCGATATCTTGGAATTCGAACATCCTATAGATATGAAAATAATATTAGATGATAGCTCCCAAGAAACCCTATAACTGTTGTATTCGAATTTTTTCTATATATCTGACAGTTTGGCTAATATAGAAGGAGAACACACTATTGACTCACAGTGTATATTAACTGTTATCCCCAGAATATACATTTTTTTATATGAAGTACTGACATTATTTTGGCTCACTATTATCTAGCTCTATCATTTACTACTTGACCTTTCCGGACACCCTGTATGTATAGTCACAGTGGGTTCTAGAAATTGTTTTATTTGGGGATGCTTAGAATAATGATTGTTAAGAACACTAGAACAGTGGAAACCACAAATACAAATTATACAATATTATTCAATGTTGAAATGATTGATAAAATATATCAAACAAAATGATTAATATAATAATATTCTTCATGAATTAGGTTTTCCAAGGCTGCAATTATTGAAAACACTTACCTTCTTCCAAATACTGGAAATCCTTCAAGGTCTGTATGGCAAAGATATTCTCTTTGCATTGCTGTCCAACTTTCTCTGATCCTGTTTTGATTAGATATTCCAATAGCATCAAGGCTTTATAGACATGTCTCCAGTTCCTTAAAAAGGAAGGATAATCTGTTGAATGATATAGCTATATGGACACAGGATATTACTTATTAGTGTACCTATTTTAACTTGGTCTAAAACCAAGTAATAATTTCGAAATAAATATAAACGTTGATGGAAAAGAGAAATCGCAATTTCAGGGGCACACACATTGTTTTGTTGAGGTCAAAAATAAAAATGTCTGAATTTGGGAATTGCTTTGACACCATCCATTCTCATTCCTGTTAGCCAAGAGTCGAGAATTTTGACTTCAGGGTTGTCCCAAATCGGGATCCATCATAACTTATAAGTTTCAAACTCTATCTTTAGAGAGGAGAAAAATAGCGACTTCAGTGGCGCACATTTTATCTTGGGGAAAAACATACAGCATACAGAATATATCAGAAATTCCCAGGAATTCTTTGACACCCATGGACATTTTTTTTCTGTAGGGGTCAATAAAAATTATTGAAACTGTTAGAATTTCGAAATTTCAACGATACTATCCGAAATGAAATTGAAAAAAAATTTTTTGTGACGGATATCTAAAATTCCAAAAGGACACCATACGAAAACATGGGAAATTGGATCTCGATTTGCTGAGATGTTTCCATCTTGTTTGAAAAGTTTTGTATGCGTAGTTTCTGAGATATAAGCCGATAAAGTTCGTAAAAACGTCGTATCGGGGTAGGATTGACGAAGAAAAAAACTGTTTTTTTAGTATAAATAAGACAAAGTGACCTAGAAAATGTATTGATCGAAAAAACATGTCTAGTTATAATCACACGAATCATAGTGAATCAGGGTGTATACAAGGCATGGTAAAAAATGCATTTTTCGGAAAAAAATTCTAGCACTATTCCAAAGTCAACAAGTTATATTTTGGTGAGACATGTTTATGAATTTCAATCAATAGATTTTCTATCTTAATTTGTCTTATTTATACTGAAAAACAGTTTTTTCTTTGTCGAACTTACCCTGATATGAAGCTCTTACGAACTTTGTCGGTTTATATCCCATAAACTAAGCATTCAAAACTTTTTAAACACTAATGTTTCTGATGAGCCATCCAACAACATTCTTACAGGGTCCTTCATCATATCTTCGGCGTAGGTTCACGTAAAATAAATATAAATTCACCAGGGGCGTACCGAATATTTTTTCGGGGTATCAAAACCGAAAAATGTCGAAAAATCGTCAAACTCACCGTCCGTGATCGTTCAACCTCTTCCATACCATCTGCATTATTTCGCTGAAAGCAACCACATTGTAGGTGAGATCGGCTATCTCGGCCATGATGGTGCTGCTCGGGCCCCATGGATCGTTCGATGTCGCCTCGCGCACCTTTTTTTTTCAAACAAAATCTTTACTTTACTGAAAATCACATCACAACTAAACTGGGCGTCAATTGAAACGTTAATAGTGAAATTTGGCATCAAGTTTGACTTCTCGTAATTTCTGAAATATTGAACGAATTTTGAATTGCCGCCCAGATTCTGAATGCCTTTTTCATCGTCTTTCGAACCATTCCTTACAGCTCCTTCTGAGTTGATCAGCACCCGTGATACAGGGTGAAACAAAGTTTCGTGCATTTTGAAGAAAATTTCTCCGCCCCCCCCCTTTTGTCGGAAGACCACGATGCTCATATTTTATTCAGGCATTTCATAAATAGCAACCATACCTCGGGACGTTTTCGAGTTTTTGCCAAAAACTACTGTGGTTTCCGAAAAAAAAAATTTTTTTGTATTTTTAATGGACAAATTTTAGAGGAGTTCCATAAATGGATGCTATTATGCATTTCAGGAAAGCGTTGGAGCAGATATGTATACCAGGTTACTCAAAAACAATCAATAATTTATTACTTTGCTGTCTATGATAAAAGTTTTCTACCTTAGTGAGCAGTAAATCAACACATATCATCAACAAAAACAAACAACGATACCTTGTTTCTATAACAATGTATTGTTGAAACAATGTAGATAATGCATAGAGGTTATATCAATTGCCAATTTTCATGAAAACGTCAGTGTAATTCGGGTCCTAAAAAATTCAAAGATGCCTCGTTCAAATCGGGTCGAAATGAAAAATAATTAGGTAAGATCACTATAGTGATATAAACTATAATTCAGTACAGATAATTATTATTTCAGGCTACGATGATTAGGATATACCCAAACTCATTAAAGTACAATTTTCAATAAGTCAGTCATGGCAATAAACAGACTAATTCATCGTTTTGAGGATACAGGTGATTAGTCCATTTAAAAAAAATGCAAAAAAAAAATTTTTTTTTCGGAAACCACAGTAGTTTTTGGCAAAAACTCGAAAACGTCCCGAGGTATGGTTGCTATTTATGAAATGCTTGAATAAAATATGAGCATCGTGGTCTTCCGACAAAATGGGGGAGCGGAGAAATTTTCTTCAAAATGCACGAAACTTTGTTTCACCCTGTATCACGGGTCCTGATCAATTTAGAAGAAGCTGTAAGGAATGGTTCGGAAGACGAAAAAGGCATTCAGAATCTGGGCGGCAATTCAAAATTCGTTCAATATTTTAGAAATTACGAGAAATCAAACTTGATGCCAAATTTCACTATTAACGTTTCAATTGACGCCCAGTTTAGAAAAAATATCAAATGTTTACTTAGCTCTGGACGTTAAGGGAACGAATCTGCTCCCGTTTTCAACATAAAAAATGGATTTTTCGTATCGCAAATTCGTATTTGTCCTGACACGTTTCAGTTCTCAGTAACAATTGGTGACGTTGGCAATCAAATGAGTTACAGGATGTTTTCATTAACTAATCTTGAATTTACCATTTTTATTTTCAGATTTCAATAATGAATACCATGTTCTATATATATCAAGTGAACAGAAAGCAATGCTATTGTCTCCGTTCAGAAGAATGCAAGCAGATTCCTTGATTTTTCTCATTGAAATAATAATATGTACCATACACATAATATATTATGTGTATAAAAAAATTGGAATATTCAATAATGATAAGCCCAGAATGATCCTTCACTCAGATTTGGCAACAACGCATCGTTCGGGTATATTCAGAGATGGTGGGTGAATCGAAAATTAGGCGAATGGAAAATTTGGCTAATCGAAAATGGGCGTGTACACCTTAGTAGATCTTTTAACTCAAACCATGTTTATAATGATCCTTTTATACATAAATAATGATTGACGACATAATTCGATCGAAAAATCAACTGGAATGTTTTATTTTTGGACATAAATAATAGTACCTTCTGAAAACGGACCCTCTTATGACGTAGAAGCCTCATCTCGCCATAGTTTAAAGAAAATACCAAACACCCGACGGAGACTGAGGCAACTGATATATTAATTCTTTCAACTGTGATATCGCGCAAATTCAATCTGTCAGAAATGATGTATCATTCATCTCTGTCTGGAATAGTCTTGTTTCAGTATTAGGGTTTTGACGTCACATCATCGCCTCGTTTTCAGAGGTCCGAAAAATCGGGGATTTCAATAATTTTTTTTATAATGTAGGGAGCACACAGCAAGAAACGGTTTGCGGTGGTGAGCTAAATAGTTTGAGTGAGTTCTATCGAATTATGAAATAAACATTTTTTGTGATATAAGCCCATTGTGTGAATCGGAAATTGGGACAAAGGCAACCTACCCCATCAGTCCAGTAGCCTTTGAAATAGAATCGAGAGCAATTATTTTCGTAGGAACATTCTTGAAAATACATAATTTTAATACCTTCTTCTGAGCGTCCGAGTAGTTGTGCGCAAAATTTTTCAAGTTGCGCCGTATGCCGGCCACATTCACCTGCATGTCGTTCGAGTTGCGTCTCATCTGGAACAACGAGAAAAAAATCGAATTCCGAGTTTGAAATTGGGGAGAAGTACAGGGTGATCAGTTAAGGGTAGCGAGCGGCCATATATCTCATAAGATATTGGTCGTATAGATTTGAGAAAAAAAATCATGATAAAAGTCGCCAGGAAAAATTGGTGTAAATTATTTTCGAGTTTGTCAAACGTCTGCTAGAGAGCGTAACAACCAACACCTAGTAGAAAAATGGGATTTTTATAGAATTTTGTCTTATGAAAGTATGTCGATGATATCGTTTTCATATTTACTGACCATGTCCCTACATTTTTTGTCTAAAACGTTTTGTTCTAGCTATCAAAATAAAGTGGTGGGGGAAGTTTAATTGTTTTTTCAAACAAACCAAGATTTCTCCCGTTTATTTCGACCGATTTCAGCAAACTCAGGGTAATATGAAAGAGCATAATTTGCCCTACAAAATGCTTATTCAGTTTTGTATTTTTGACTCTTGCTGTCGCCGCTAGATGGCGTTAACTGAAATGTTAGTAAATTTTTGAGTTTTTTTCAAAAAAATCAAATGTAATGGTATATAAATTTTTATATGTTTTGAAAGAGAATACATTTCTCTATAATTTAATGAAAATAATTTATCATCTACTTTTTTTTTTAATCGTTGATATTGACCATAATATAATTTTATTACATTAAAAAATGGCACGCCACTGTTTTTTATCAAAATAAAAATCAGTTTTGTAATCTCTTATTAGTTGCTAACAAAAATAATCTCTTGACTTTTTTTCCTTAGACGAACGGTTTTGGATTGAAAAATAAAATAGGTTTACAAGGGGTGCCCATATCTAAAATAATTTTGACATACTGGTGTAAACCTATTTTATTTTTTCAATCCAAAACCGTTTGTCTAACGAAAAAAAGTCAAGAGGTTATTTTTGTTAGCAACTAATGAGAGATTACAAAACTGATTTTTATTTTGATAAAAAACAGTGGCGTGCCATTTTTTAATGTAATAAAATAATATTTTGGTCTATATCAAGGATTCAAAAAAAGGTAGATGAAAAATTATTTCCATTAAATTATAGAGAAATTTATCCTCTTTCAAAACATATAAAAATTTATATACCATTATGTATGATTTTTTTTGAAAAAAACTCAAAAATTTGCTAACATTTCAGTTAACGCCATCTAGCGAGCCATCTAGCGGCGACAGCAAGAGTAAAAAATACAAAACCATGTAAGCGTTTTGTAGGGTAAATTATGCTCTTTCATACTACCCTGAGTTTGCTAAAATCGGTCGAAATAAACGGGAGAAATCTTGGTTTGTTTGAAAAAACAATTGAACTTCCCCCACCGCTTTATTTTGATAGCTAGAACAAAACGATTTAGACAAAAATTGTAGGGAAATGGTCAGTAAATATGAAAATGATATCATCGACATACATTCATAAGACAAAATTCTATAAAAATCACATTTTTCTACTTGGTGTTGGTTGTTACGCCCTCTAGCGGACGTTTGACAGACTCGAAAATAATTTACAGCAATTTTTCCTGGCGACTTTTATCATGATTTTTTTTTCTCAAATCTATACGATCAATATCTTATGAGATATGGCCGCTCGCTACCCTTAACTGATCACCCTGTACAGTGTGTCCAGTTTTCGATGCTTTTGCGTGATATCTCAGTTATCTTTGGAGATAGAACCTTGCGGTTTCGCGGTCCTATACCACTTTTTTGTGAAACTCAAGATGGCCTAATCAGATTTTGCATAACTATTTCCGTTTATGAGATACGGAGCGATTTTTAAAATTTATACATTTTGAACCCCCTCCATATCTACGAAGGTTCTCAGCAAAATTGTCAAATTAAAATCTTAGCCCATAGAGAATTTTACGCGGAATCCAGTGGCGCACTCATTTTTTTTTTTTCGGGGTACGCTTTTGCAGAAACGACTCAAACTTATGATTTTTTATTTTTTATATGGTACACCCTGTATTTTATAAGTATTAGTAACGGGCGTTAAAGCATCTTGATATCTCTTTGTCAGTGATATCCATTATTTGAATAAATAAATTAGAAATCACTGATTGAAAAAAATGAGTGTTTAAGGAGGTTGTACTTGAATGTTGCATCTAGAAATTCTTAAAGATTGCAGAAACCAATATGTCAATAAGAGTGAAATAAATTGCACAGTGACTAATAAATAATAATAATGTGTGAATAATATGTACTGATTATAAAAATAAATTATCACAAAACAATCTCATGATTGTGTAAGCCATTTTTTCATTGTCCTTCAAAATTTTTGCAATGAAGTGACAGATATTCAAACTTCATTTAAATAAACATGCATTGTCACTAAAGTTCAGACTTAAAAATAATCCTGAAATAATTTATTATTGAGAGAATTATTCATTGAAATTCAGAGATGTATGCTGATAAATATAATCTGGGAGCATTGAATTTAAAATTGATAAATAAATAGACAATGACACCATCAAATTCTAGGTTTTTTAATCTCTTGGAGGGCACGTAAGGGAATCCCTACAACATAGGAACGTAAATAATTTTATGAACATGATTTTCATTGGTAAAAATAAAACCTATTTTTTAGAATCTAGGTGTAGCATGATTTCATCATTTCAGCTCATTGAAGTCAGAACACATCATGTGATTTTTTTCACAGAATTGAGAATAAGTAATGTAAACATAATTTGGCATAATTTCATTTTTTACTCTCTTGACTGTCTTGTGATGTCCTGATCTCATGATGTTTGTATATACCTCATTATATTTTATATAAACAGATTATGAACAATGAACTCATTTCAACAATTAGAGATTAATTATTAAACTCCCGATATTTTACCCGAGATTTTACCATCAAACTTCATTATTTATTACTCTTTTCTGGTGAAAATTAACACAGGAGAAACAGAAAGACACTGCAGGCACTTCAAAACTCACATTTGAATTTTTTGTTAGCATCTTAATGGCTCAGAATATCACTTGAATTTCAATGAGGATCTGTGACTTTTACAAACCATAATCTGATAAAATGAACATATGAAGCACAAAATACTGATAAGAAAATTAACAATAAAAGAATGATAAATATTTTTCACTGATTATAAAAACATTTTATTGATGGATTGAAATTCCTAAATCTTGAGGAAACTTATACACAGATTATTGTATGTATGTGGTTAATAAAATAAATAGCACAACTTCTAACCTAACATAGGTACTCACTTTTATATTTGTGTTGTTTTGTTGTGTAATTTAAACCACCTAGTACACTAAGGAAACATTAATATATTGTCAACTACATAGCATGCAACATCCTGAACAAGCCAATGAATGTTATGTTGAAGAAGGTAAGTAATTATAGGGTTTCTAAAGCAGATAATGGGAAATCAATATTTTATGTCTGACTATTATGTTGGACTATGTGAAATTTCAGTACTTTTGAATCATTGGAAATTCCAAGATATATGATTTAAAAAGTTCACTTCATGTATAGGACATGTTTTCTAATGATCTACAGGATACTGCTGATGATAAGAGATTTTATCAATTATTTTCAGTGTTTGACTACTCTGATTACTTAGCACATATGAGTACCAAACAAAACTATGTTGAAAATTAGTGGAATGGAACAATGAAAAGGTATACAAATAGTCTGTAACTTAAAATGAATAGAATAGGTAAATAAGAAAGCTGGAGAAATTTCAACATTTTCAATATATAATTAACATTTGAAAACTATTTTTTATAAATTGATAAAAGAATCATTTTTTATACATCAAAAATTTTGCTTTACCTTGTATTTCCACTATTTCCAGATGAGATTTTCTCAATGATCCGATAGAAAATTACGAAAATTTCAGGACTTCTGAAATAAATCAATTTTTATAAAATTTGTTGATGATAACAGTGATGACACTACAGTTCTTCACATTCAGAATTTCTGTTTAGAAATGAGTCAACATGGCGGAGTGAATTTCATTTCGTAATATAGTGAATACCTCGATTCCACCAATTTTATCTGATAGGGCTTATTACTGGATATAAAAAATAATTATTTTGATCGATTATTTGACAAAAAGTTGATTATTTATCTTCAGGTTTAAAAAACTAATACCAAAATGTTGACAATAATTTGACATTTGTCAGATGTGACATGCGACATGCGACAGGCCACTCTAGTGCAACTGCACTAGTGCTACGTGCTAGTGATGGGGTACTCTTGTACAAATAGGTAAGTATCGATTCTCTTAAGTACAGGGTGGGCAAAATTGGGCGTTTTCGCCGTCTATCTCAATAACTAGAGGAGTTATCGAAAAACCGATATACATGTTCCGGGTTCGATTTTGGAGAAACCTCGAATAGCACAATCAAAATTTCGATATCTTCATTCGTTTTAGAGATACAGGGAGAAATTGAAAATTTGCCGATTTCGATTTTATTTTCTGACTACTTTACGGTGAGAGGTATCAAAAAATTTCGAACGAATATTTATACAGGGTGACGTTGAAAAGATACGGCAGCCAATTATGTTTTTTCTAATAGAACACCCCGTATATTTTGGCACAGTTGAAAATTCCCAGGCGTTCTCATTACAAATATATATATAACCCTACCTTTTCCTTCCACAATTTCAGATATATTCGCAACAATATATTCAGAGTGTCACATTTCTTATGGTTACACCCCCGTATCTTCTGTAAAAATAATTGAGGTAGGATTCAAAAATTCGCAACTGTCAGAAAGATGTAAATGATACACTCATGGAGTCATGGACCAAGTGGGATCATCTCCAATGATAACACTGCTCGCCAGCAGCTATGGAATCATCGATATTTCTGGATAATGCTATCAACAGGCAGAATCGAGGTTGAAAATGACACTCTGTATATATTCACCAAAGGTGGAGAATGAATATCATAGGGAATGTTATTTCCAGACAAATGGATATTTGGTGAGAAATAAAATGGGAAATTATTCGATTTGA